AAATTCCATGGATCATAAAAAAGCATTACAAATGATGTGAGTGTGGATGTGATAGACATGAATGATACTATACTACAGTATATTAAGTAGAAAAGATCAGTTGTAATATATAAGAGAATAAAATAGTTATTTACAGCAAATGGATTGTATAGTAAATGGAAAATAAATAATAAACAGTATATTATACAGTAATATATATATAGATTCAATATTTCTTAATAAGTGAATTGCAAAGAAAATATCTAAACATAAGGTTAATCTCATGGCTTTTTTCACATTTATTTGTGAGCACCTAATCCTGTGGTTACTTTGGATTAGATCAACAATATTAAGAAGATTTATATTATATTTCTATAGAAACAAATAGTTTGATAAAAAAAATATTGATTTATAAAAATTATTGACAAAAACAAATATAAATTGACATATAATTTAATTTTTAATTATGAATACATTATTTTTTAAATCCAATGAATATTATTGTCTCTACCAGATTTTTAAACCAATAAAACTTTTTATAATATAAGTAATATAATATAATATAACTAATGTTTGAAATTTTTTTTATATAAAATCTAAAGTGAAAATATATACATTTTTTGGGCAAATTATAAAACAAAAAAACCAAGTTATTTCCCTGTTTTAATAATTTGCGCGATTTAAAAAGTTATGATTATTAAAATAACGTTTGAATAAAATGTATTATTTTAAATTTTAAAAAGTAGCTAAAGTAATAATAATATATCGAAATAAATATTTGTTGATTTTTTACAAAATCTAAAATTAATATTTAAAAATATTACTAAACTGACTGACTAACAAATTCAAATAAATAATTATTTTAACATTAAAATTAAAAATATTACACAATTAATACATATGAAATCAAATGAATATTTAAAGACCTATTGTAAATTAATTACTTATTAAGTATAAATAATTTTTGTTTAAAAAAATATATTCTACATAAAGAAAACAAGTTATTGGACTATAAATTGTTATTTAATTTTCTAGTTTGTAATTTAATTGTTTATATCATATAAATCTTATTTAAATGTAATTTAATTTATTATATAAATGTACGCAAATTAATGAATAAAGAAAGTGATGACAAAAATAATGAATGAATGGAATAGACATATGCTTTGAACCATTAGTTTCTGTTTGTCATCTCTTCTCTCATCCCAATTGTTGTACAACTAATCCAAACAATTATTTATTACACAAAATAATAGCAAAAATAGTTTAATATAAAGTCATTAGTGTTTTAAAAACTTTTCTCCAATTTTGAATTCTTGTAAATATTTATTTATATAATAAATGTTTACTAAATTTTTAAATAAATACTTATTTAAAAAAAAATTATTTTATAATTTATATCAATTATTAAATCTAGTAAATGAAATAAGTATTTCAAAGCACTTATTGTCAGCACTTGTGGTCAACAGATACCAAATGTCTAATCCAGACCTAACACTCCCTAAGATTTAAAACACTTTTAGATTAAATAGAAATTTCTTTCTTAAAAGAAAATAGTTTTAATTTTTTCTGATTTTTGTAAAAAATACACAAATTATTAGAACTTTTTTTTTGTAATATAAAAGTTTTATCCACTTATCTTTTAAGAAAACAGTTTTGTCTGTATTTTTGTGTAACATATTTCCCAAAACAACCATATTTTAATCAATTATAAAAATGTATTGTTATATTTTCAAATTTAATTTAAAGTAATGTTATTTGTATTGAAAAATTTTAATGATTAGTAATAACCGGTAGGTTTTTGTGGACAGGTAGTCGAGTGCTGTGTAAATACATTTTGCTATATGATATGTTATATGGCATCGGGAGGTTAGCTAAATGTGCAAAATTAATACTAATTTTTTGAAATGCAAATTATTTCAAAGTTTTAAATAGTATATAAAATATCTAAAATGCTTTAAGAGTTTAGGCGATTAAATGTGTGATTATTATATTATGAATTATAACAATATTTTATGTTTTTTTGCAAAATATTCTAATTCTCAATAGAAAAGGTCTTTTATAACATTAATAAAAAACAATTTTATTATATTTAGTAGTTATTAAATAAACTAATAATTATAATTATGATTGTTTTATTTTTTAAAAATCTTGCAATAATAAATTTAAACTTTATTATATGAAAACTTTATACATGTATTGTCATTATTTTACAAAAATCATGTATATTTTTTAAATATTTTAAAATTTGCTCCAAAACTATTACAAAAAAATAGGAAAATTTTTTAAGATTTTAATATATATATATATTTCTCAATTATTATTGAAATTTGTCGGAAAATATTTTCAAGAGTGCCTTTTAAATCACGAGTTTCCACAAAATTTGTTGTTGTATTGCATTCACTATTATAAATAGTCATTGCCTTAACTGCGGTGAGAGATGGGAAGCTTGAGGTCAGGTATTATCTCGAGAACCAGTGGTCAGATCTTGCGGTCAAACATATAAAAGTTATTGAGAATAAAAAGTTAGGAACAATTGTATACTTGAACATAATATAGGCCCATAAGAGGGCGCATCACAAAAATATTAAATTTTTTACTTATTTAACTAAATATTTAATTATATTAATTAATTATAAGATTATTATAATTTTCTATTTTGAGTATTTACTAAATTTTTAATAGAATAATAATTAAGATAAAGAAAATATTAATATTCATTGTTATAACTTTTACTTATAACAAGTAATCCTTGAATGAGATCTATAATAATCTTAACATTTTGTTATAAAATAAATTTATGATTAAATATTAGTTATTAATTTTAAAAAATGATTAAAAGTACTTATTTACGTCTTATATAAAAATACTTTTTTGCAGTATTCATGTGTAGATATGGACATTGATTTTTTTTTTAACTTTATTCTCAACAACTTTTATATATTTGACCGCAAGATCTGACCACTGGTTTTCCAGATAATCATTGATTGCAATTTTTTTAATACTAAATTTTCATGTTTTATTTTATTTGTGCGCCCCTGGTGATTTACTAGAAATTTTGAAACAATAATAAATTGATCCAATATTTAGTGAAATACAAACCAAAAAACTATAACTCTATTTATAATATTTGAAAACATTATATCGATTGGTCAGACATTGGGGATCAGCATTGCTTCCGACTCTAATTACTTGAATATATACTTAATTTCCTTTTTGCCATATATTACGAATCGACGATCTGATACTTATCGCATGGAAAGGCAAAACTACAAAAGTATAAGCATTTTAGTTGAACACCAAATGTCTAATCCGTTAATAACAGAAACGATATAACATTGGGAACTGTAGGTCAAAACAAAATAAACTAAATGTACGAAATATATTGCATATCAAACCTAAGCCTAATTGCACCCAAAAGGCTTTGGGCTACAAATCTTAGATATCGTACAATCAATACCTTGACATTAGTCAGTCATACTATCACTTGATTTACTTTTTACTTTATATAAAAGGATTTAATTTTAGTTTATATCCACCACTAGAGTATTGTTACTCTTATGACATGTAAAATGCAAATTAAATAATGTATACAAAGAAATAGTCGGTCAATACTTTCTTCATTTTTATATTTATATTATATATTATATAACTGAAAGTACATTACTATATGTTTATTCAATTATGTAATGAATTCCTCACAAGAAATTGTATTCATATTATTAGAGTATGAATTGAGAGCAATAGATGCTATGTTTGATTGTTTGGCAAATATGACAACAATTTAATCCCATATCACCCCAAAGCTATTAATATCAAAGAACTATTGATTGAAAATACTAAATTTGAACACATTATTCAAACTAATTGTCAAAAATATATTTATTATATATATATATGAATATACATTTTGACAAATATTTTAAATAACTATAGAATCTATAATAGAGATTATTGATAACTACTTATAATGGTATGATATACAGTATAATACTAAATACTGTTTACAAAATATCATATTATGTTTTAAATTTGATTTAATTCGTAATTTTGAGTTTACTTTTATTACAAATTAATCAAAATTGTAAAAACAACGACTTATAGGATTAAACCATTCGTTTATAAAAATTTGTAATTATTTGTTATTTCATATGACATTAATCACCTATTTTTATGTCATACAACTTGACTACAGCTCCGGGCGTTTGCCATCTAATCAATGCTTTAATTCACAAAAACATCATTTCATAAATCTTTTTTGCTGTAAATCCTCTGAAATGTTTTGCTTTCAGTTTATTTATTTAATACACAATTCAGTAATACTACATAAACAGGTAGTCTCTAAAAATTAAATCAATAAAACAAACCTATACTCTAACTTACATGTATTTATTTAACATTAATGTTATGTACTGATTAATACATGTAATGTCTGTAAATAAATTTTGTAAAGTGTCAAACAAGTGGTCAGTTTTGTTTTCAGTTAATTGTTTTGATGAAAACAAATTTATTGACAAATTCAATAGACTTTATATTAAATTAGCTATTGATATACTATAATTGCGTTATTTGAATAAATTATGCTAACAATAATTTAATTTACAATACATGCAATACATTAATATTACATTACAACAATTGACGCAATATTACAATAATATTATCAATGAGTCGATAAGTTAAGGATTAGTATTTTGCTATAATTCATTGCACTAATTGAAGACAACTATCCATTTGTGTTAATGAAAATAAATTGTCAGATATTAACTAAATATCTCAATAATTGATTTATTAACTGTAAATATGAATATAAATTATCTTTTATTTTTTTAATCACTATTTTTGGACAAAAACTTCTAAAGTTAGATTGTTTTCAATAAATTCAATAAATGATTTCTTTATTTTTACAATTACGGTAAATATTCCACTTATAATTACCCGTAAATAAGGTTTACTGTAACTATATAGTATTATTCAAAGTTGTTAAATAACTGAATTTTATTGTAAATATAATTAAGTACACTGAAACTATTAATTAAAAATAAATGATATAAAGATTAAAAAATGAATATAAATAAAAGTTTAGTGATTCGTTTAAATTGAGTAAATATATATTGAAATGTCAAATCATTTGAAAAATATTATCATAAATAATAGTCAACGAATCGTTAATCGCAATGAATTATCAATAAGTTTAGTATTAGTGCCGTAATTCACTTTCTTTTTCTTTTGCGGATCAATTTGAAAGCATTCCCAGAAGCGAAGTGTCTCATCTGCGCCAACCGACGCCACTGTACTGCCGTCAGGGCTCATAACCAATCCCAATACTCGTGCCGTATGTCCTGTCAATTCAGCTACTTTTGCGAGACCCGGATATTTCCAAATAATTAATTCATTGTTTGAGTATCCGTGAGATGATATCAATTCTTTGTAATCTTTAGACCATAAAATTGACGAAACCTTTGAGTATAAAAATAAAAAATTATAATTTTTATAAATCATTTCAAATTACTGTAAATTAATTTACCTGTGATTTTGCATCAACAGTATATAGATTGGTACCATTTTGACAATTCCAAATACGGATAGTTCGGTCAGCAGTTCCGCCACCACTGGCCAAACAACTTGGTCTCCACGGACACCACGCGAGGGCCTGTTTAATAATAATTAGTATTATAGAAATTTTAAAAAAATATTTAATAAATTAAAATGAATTATATTCCTAACCTTAACAGCCGCTTGATGTTCAGTAAATGTAAAAACAGGTTTATTGTCAGAATTGGATGACATATTGTTTGACCAAATTTGAATTGTATTATCGTTGCCACCACTGGCTAAATATTGACCTCCTGGTGACCATTTAAGACCACAAACTTCTTGATTATGACCATTATAATTAGATACTAAATGATTGGCTACTCGGACATCGTTATTATATATATTGCCAGTTTTGGTGCCACCACTTATAATATATGAGTTCCAACTCATACTACCGACACGTCCCGAACCAGTTTTCATTGTTCTCAGTCGTTTGACTCTATCTGTGTCCCAAAGTTGGATATCTCCTTCACTGGTACCGATTGCTAGATGGTTGCCCTCCTCTATCCATGAAACAGAAGCGATATACTGTTCCTCATCTAATGTCATCAAATTAGTGATATCTCCAGTGTTTGCGTTCCACAAATATATTTCTCTCATAAGAGCCACCGCTAAGATGTTGGAAGCGTTCCAATCAATTAACTGCAAATAATAGTCATTTTTGACGTCCGGCGCATCCAATATACGTTCGGGTTGTGTCGGGATATATCTCTGACTTTTCTTTGTCGAAGAACTGCATTTACTCGAACTGTACAACACTTTCAAATTGTTTGATTGTCCTTCAGCTGCAATCGGAGCCTTATTCTGGTAACACATTATCCTAAAGTTAGACAGATCTCCGACCAAATTCTCACTAATAGCCGCTTGATTTGAATTACTTTGAGTGTTGGGATCAGTGTCCTGACAATCGTTCTCTTTGCTGTTCATTATCTGTTCAAAAATAAACAAATTAGTCATTGCTTTGTGTGAGAAATAATAATAATAATACCAAATAATGACTGATATCTGCATTCATGGCATTTCTGTTGGGAATGAAACGGTCGGCACCATTGCAGGGTGTCTTCGGTGTCTTACATTTATTAGTACTATTACATTGCTTTAGTGTGTGTGCGGGAGTCCTATTAGGTGTGGCCCTATTAGTGGGTGTCTTGTTAGGTGTTTTGCTGCCATTTATTATTTGGTTGGTATTATTTGTCGAGATATTAAGTGATAAATTGTTCATTGAATCGATGGCACAATTCAGATGAAGTGAAGCATTCAGTGAGTTGTTGACACTGGATGTCGACGTCTCTAACCTCTTGCGTTGCCATCGGGCCAGTGGTGCGCCAGTGATGGCACTGTCCATCATTGTCTGCGCCAATCGGATCTGATTTTCAACTTCAAAGTGATTGTTCATTGCATACAATATATCAATTGTGAGTCTTGTGACCAAACAAATGGTGCGTCCAATCAATTAGTAAACAAAAAGTCATCAATTTTTTCAATTATTAAATTAATTATAATTTATAAGTAAAAGCAATGTTTGTCACTATTTATACACTATTTATACACACATTTAAATGCAGTTAATATTGAGTGTTATTAAAGCTAACGATATTTAAATTTAAAATCATTGCTTACAGTCATCTGATTGGTCACTGTGTTAAATGTATAACGCATGCGCTTTCATGTATTAATTATATTACAATTTATACTTTTAAATCTATACTACAGATTGTATTACATTATATTATATTAATATTAAATATTACTAATTAATAGTTATAATTATTAACATTACTGTAAATACTATACAATATATTAGTAATATTATATTACTATAACTTATAAGTCTATAACTATTACTAGGGTTAGATCATATTCCTTCTCTCAATTTATATTCCCAAAATTCCTTATCTTCCCTACACCTGGAAATTCCTACTGAATTTATTTCCTTGTGTTACCACATATTAAGCTCTAAAAACACATTTTATTATAATGTTTAAAAACAAATATATTAAACAGTGAGAGAAAATAGACAACTTTTGGACAATAAAAAAAGGGACGGATTTTTATCGAACCCTAACTACAAGTATTATTATTAATATTATTATTATTATAATAAGTACAATACAGTACAATGTACTGTAATTTACAATAATATTAGTATTCAATTACATAGTAGTACTCTGACAGTACAGTATGTAAAATGTGTACTACATTTGCTATAATTAGTGTTGGTAATTTTTCGCAATTCAATTTTCGATTGACGCTATAGCGGAAAATTGCTTGAAATTGCGCGAATGAGGGAATGTATAAAAATTAACTTTGACAACGTTAAAAATTTTGTTTACAATATATTAAGAGAATTTACTAATTTATTATTATTTTTACATGGTTTTTAGATGGCAACATTTTATGATAAAATAATTAAATTTTATATAATTAATTTATGTTTTTATTCATATTGCTTTGCCATTTAAATTTTGTTAATTTTTTAAAAATTATAAATTTTTCTATGTTACAATTGTGATTTTCGCAATCGAGCTTTTTGCAATTGCGGCAATTTCACGCAATTTCCGAGCAATGCAATTGCGCATTTTGCAATCGGTACATCACTAGCTATAATTATAAATTTAGTCTACTATACTATACTGTAGTCTAATTAATTATAACAGAACACAATTAAATATACTGTAATCTACTATTTAAACAATGGTACATGGTCAATTAAAATGTCAATGTTAAGAATCAAATTATAAAACAATATTTAATTACAAATTGTAATTTACAATAGAGTTATAAATTGATTAAATAAATTTTGTAGAAAATGACAATTTTTTAATTACCGTAATTTAATTATTACTAAATTATGACATATAATACATATATAATTTATTATAGAATATACTGTAGATATTAATATAATTTTTATTTTAATTGTATTAATGTTTATCTAAGATTTTATTTGGTGGTAAAGCATAATACATAAGTTATACACATATATGTACTTTAATTGTGAATTTAATTGATTAACATTTTATTTATTATTTATAAATATTTTTTACAGAAAAGCTCTCAGTTTATACAATACTTTAACAATAATTGTTTAGTTTCTAAAGTCAGAAATCACTTATAAATATTTAAAATCATTTATAAAAGTCCTATATTTAAGGTTAAGAATAAAACAAAAATATATTAAAGATCTTATAAAACAATAAATAATTTATTACAATTATTAAATACAATTAAATAGATTTTTATTAATTTTTGTAGTATTTAATTTATGAAAGTTTTGAGTGAAAATGTTTAAAATCAAGTGATAGATATTAAAAAAGTTTTACATTTGTTTAATGATTAGTACTATTTTTGATACGAGCCATGAGTTTATAAGTGGTTTCAGAACTCAATTATTGGGAATATACTGTAATTTTTCCTAAGTTTAGTCAATTTGCAAATTTCATTGTAATTAAAAATCAAATTAGTTTTTGAGTTATTATACAATGAGTAGAAATAACTTACCAATAAGTTCACTATAAATGAGGCACTAATTCATTTAATTATCTTATAATACAATATAAAATTTAAAAATAGTCTAAAAATCAATTATATGTATAAAAAACTTTATTCAAATACTGTACTAAATAAAAACAATGACTTATTTAAAAAATTAAATTATTATTGATGTAGTAATCCATTTAAAAATAACAATCAGTTCTAAAAACAACATAATTATAAAAAATTTACTTAATTTACATTATGTTTTCAATAATTATATTGTAGTAATGAGTAATGAAATTCGTGTCAATTTTGATGATTTAAAAAATGCATTCTTTATAAAAATGTATTAAAAATGATTAATAAATGAAGAGATTTTAAAAACGTAGTTTGACTATACATTTACATTACAATTATTAAATTATTTTTACTTAATATAATTATTTATATATTAAGAGTTATTGTCGTCGTCAAGATTATCGTCGATGAAGTCCACGTGAGTAAATGGGAAGTGACCCACCTTTCCATTGAGTTCCCCCTCCCACTGACCATTGATGTTAGTTTTGGTCACTTTAATAATATCACCCTTCTATAGACAGATAGATAATGTTATCAATTATCGGTAAATCATATTATCACTAAATAAAGACATACTTCTAATTTCAACGCTGTCTTGTCGTAAGCATTCGGTATTCTCTGTTTGTTGACGACAGCCATCGCCGGTAACTTTCGTTGAATATGAATATTAGGAGTTAAATATGTTTTTGGTTCCGATGATCGCATATTAGAATTTGAATGACTAGTATTGCAACTATTGTTCGTATTGTTGTTGTCCAATGCAGAAGACCATACATTTAGTTGACCATCAGTCGTATGATTGCTATCATCTATCTATTAAAAAGTCAATATATTGTATGACAAAAGCAATCAAATAATATAAAATTCTTACTGATTCAACGTATGGCACGGGTATGGACCCAGTTTTGCCTATACTATTGCGAGCTGTCCACCACTGGTCTTCATCTTTGGAAATAATTACCAAAACTTCATTCTTCTTGAATGGCAGATCATCCGAATCACCGCTTCCTTCGAAGTCATATTTAGCTCTAACCCTTTCCACTCGTTTGGATGCCTATCCATCATATTTTACCATATGATTAGCAGTAATAACAATTTTTCAAACTTACGGGTCTTATTAGAGGTGTTGTATCTAAATAATGAAGTTTATAAAAGTTTAGAAGAGCCGGTACATCGGGAAACATCTGGTCACCGATCCTGAAGCGGGTCTCCGAGTTTGACTGTAATTTGTTTATTATATAATGACTCACTTTATTGTCCTCTCTATTAAATTAATGACAAATTAATGTAAGACATAATATCATCAGTTGATGTTGTGATGTCTATACCTCACACACAGCACGAGATCGCCGACTATTGTCGTACTATTCCTGACTAAGAAGACTCCGGTCTCGTTCTCAGACATCAACACATTTGTTGCCTCACTTCTGTTCATTGGCCCGAAGTACCAACTGATCCAATAAACAAACAAAAAGATTATCAACAAATGTCTCAATTTAAACAATTAGTTATTAAATGACAAAAATTGTCTAAACATTGGTTATTGAGAATCAATAGACAATTGTCTCATCATTTTAATGATAAATTAATTGATAAAACAAAATAAATACCTATTTTTGTCGTACGGATCAAAATTTGCTGCCATTTGTTGACAATTATTGCTTACAATTGATTTTAATTAAATAATTTAATCAAATATTTGGTCAGAAATATTAGTTATTATTTGATATAAAATATTTGTTTTTAATTTGATTATCACTTAAATTAAAGGCAAATAAATGTATTAAAAGACAATTATAGTAATCATTGAAATGACTGTAACTGAGAGTCACTTTTCCTGCGGATATTAATAGCAATTGAAACACACATTAAATATACATTAAATACATATTAAATGTCATATGATATACATTATGAGTGAATGATTGAATCAAATGAGTTAGTCTTCAAACGTATACATTGTTGACAACAATGGCATCACTTATGATATGACCGACACTTGTTGTCACTGTTTGACCACAAAGTCATAGCATTCATAGCAGTCATACACACAAACAGTCCAAACATTGACAACCAATGGACACATCGATCGCAATAATCGAAGCGATAGTCAACCGATAGTATCGTATGATTGCAATCAATATATAAATATAAAAATAATGTTTTGTTTGTGTGTTGTGTTGTGTTTGAAACCAATGGCTTAACATTTGTGTGATTGCATTGATTGCATGTGTTATATGTGTTGTTGTTATTATTGTTGTTGTGGTTGCGGTTGACATCACTAATCATGTCATCTGTCAATCCATATCCAGCATCACCTTTAAGACCAGTTCCCCAGTTCTTTGAGTCGAACAACTCTTTTACAACCAAAAAGGTTTGTCTACCAAATGCTTAATATAATTAAATGAATGATATGATTGACAATTGATATAATCAGGAAAGGTATAGTTCGACTCCCTGTCCAAAGAGAGTACCTCCGAGACCTCCATCCAAGACTGTCCCCCCTATCAGTCGTTTCTTTGCTCAACCCAAACATCAAACGGCACAAGCGATCAGTTTCAAGGAAAACAGCGACATATGTAAGACATAACATATTTATCACTGATTTGCGATAATTTAATGATTAATGTATTGATTTGTCTTAAGCTCTTAGCAAACATTACGACTCAAGTCGTGAAGAGTCATACTTTGATCAATGTTTTATTGTTGAGAAAAAGATAGGAAGCGGTTCTTTCGGTGATGTTTTCAGAGTTAAAAGTAGAGAAGATGGCAAATATTATGCAATTAAAAGGTCTCGCGAGAGGTTTAAAGGCAAATCAGATCGCGAGAGGAAGTTAGAGGAAGTCTGTAAACACGAACAACTCCCTAAACATCCCAATTGTGTCCGACTATATAAAGCTTGGGAAGAAAGACAACATCTTTATATTCAGACAGAGTTATGTGAAACGAGTTTAAGTGACTTTACGGAAGTTAATCACGAAATTCCTGAACATATTGTTTGCAATTATTTTGTCGATTTGCTTAAAGCCGTCGGACATCTTCACGATCACAATCTAATGCATTTAGATATAAAACCCGATAATATTTTTATTTCTAGGGATGGTTTGTGCAAATTAGGTGACTTCGGACTTGTTCTTGACCTCAACAAAGTAAATGATTAAAAAATAGTTTTAATTAATTTATATATTATTATAAATTTCCATTTATAGTATGACTCTAATGAAGCCACTGAAGGCGATCCTAAATATTTAGCCAAAGAGTTAATGTCCGGTCATTTTACAAAAGCCGCTGATATATTCAGTTTAGGCGTTAGTATACTTGAAATTGCCTGTGATTTAGACCTACCTTCTGGTGGAGAAGTTTGGCATCAACTCAGGGATGGAAAGATACCCGATATACTTCTAAGTGGTATTAAATGTTTAATTGGATTTTTGTAAATTATTGTAATTTAATAATTGTTTTAATTTTTAAATAGGAATTAGTACGGATTTAAGGGAAATTATAAAAGATATGATGAATCCAGACTATAGGCTCAGGCCATCAGTGGATCAATTGTTAAATCACCCTTTTATAAGGAGAATAGAGCGCTCACGTCGATGGAAACTTAGGGCTAAAAGAAGTTTGAAGTTAGCCTACGATTTAATTAATTGGTTTTATCACTATTTAATGAAGACATTTATCCTTATTTGTTATCCATTCAAATATTTATATCAATCATTCATCAAAAGGCCGACCGACACATCATTTGTAAAGTCTCCAAATAATTCGCTTAATATATCACACAATGATTTTGACAACTATTCCGATGACGATATGTTTGAAACGAGTTATCTTTCAGTGTTAGACAATTCGTTGGACAAATCATCTAATTTTGAAGATAAACACTCATCTCCTGATAATTCTTTTGATAAGATTAGGTAATATAATACTTATTAAATATCAAAATTAATTACCGGTATTTATATCTTAAAAATTATTATTGAAAAACATTTTAATTTAAAGCAAACGAAAGTTTTGTTCGACATCTGTCGTAAATCGAAGAAAAACTGGTTTTGATCTTTCGTTTAGATCTCCTTCATTTGCTACCAGTTCTCCCATTCAACGTATGTATAACACGACACTTCCCGACAGTCCGACATTGTTTAGAGAATCGTCTATAACTTGCAAACCATTAATCAGTCAAAAACTGAATTTTGACGACCAATCTGGAGATGAATCCTCCGATTGCGATAAAATACATCAAATCGGACCAAAAAATTTATTGAGTGTATGTTTTAATTAAGTAATAGTTAATAAAAAATTAATTTTAATAATTTTGATGTTTTTTTACAGACATTTGATGAAATAGAAAACGACTCGAGTGACTGATAGTGCCTTTACATTGATTTATATTTTCATTATTTTGTCTCATTTATCACATTTTTTATGAATTAGCTTTTTGTCATTCATTGACCATTAATTCAATATAAATATATATTCATCATTCAGATAATTGCCAATCATAATCATGTTTTGTATATTTTTTAATTTATGTGATTTCTATTTAACAAAATGTTATAATTGTAGCGATTTTTATAATTACATTTAAAATACGATATTATTCATGTATTAACGACATTACTTTGTGAAATAAAATTTATAATTCTCTAATAAACAAATTATAATTATCTAATTTGTATATAATTACAATTTTTAAGCATTTACTAGTATATGCTGTATACTACTGAGTAATATAATTAATACTGAATATTACAACAATTTATAATTTAAATTTTCATTTCAGATATTTAACAATTTTTTTTCCATTATTTTAATAGATATTTAACTAATTAAAGTATTTATTAGTATTTTTCATGTTTATTGAACCAAACTATTAATAATCAATATTTATAAAAATTTATAATAAAATAATTTTATTAGTTTTTATGTTGCATTCAAATACTGTAAGTCCGTGGATATAAATTTGAATGATTTTTCATTATTTTTCATCAAAAATGCAGTATTAATACTGTATTAATCAAACTTATGGTTTAAAAATATATATCATCTAGCTCAAATAGACTGTTACAAGTTTAGTTTAATTAAGTACTACAGTATAAAATTTATCTAACTTAATACTATATGAAATAGGTTATTTAATTTTTGTATTATAAACTTTTTTGTTTTTTATCTTGGTCATTTAATTATGTTAATAAGGGACCATCTAATAATCTGATAACACCTGCTGTTAATTTAAGTTATTATAAAATGCAATCAAACTATAATATTAATAAAACTTATATTATTTGTTATCAATATATTATGTTTTAAATGGAAATGTTGTTAAATCATTAATTGCAAACATTGTGGGACTAAAAATATATATTTAAAAATAACATTATTTATGGTTTAATTGAATTCAATATGAAATTCTATATATAAATAGCTGTAAATTGAATGTAAAATAAACTTTACGTTAATTTTCGTACAAAACTGTGAATTGAATGATTTGATTGGTTGTTATGATTTTGGTTACTTAGTAACCGAATAATGTTTTGTATGAAAATAAAATCTAATCAAAGATAACGTTATATTTGAGTCAAACAATTGAACCGAATTTCCAACAATTATAACATAATTTTGATTCTATTTTTGGTTTTACATTGATTTGTGACAAACAGTTAATTCATATGAATTGAGTGACACTTATAATGAGTGATGACTTTAGTGACCAAATCTATAGTTAAATGTAATGTTTGTCATCAATAGTACTGCTATTTAATGATTAGTATTAATACATTCAATGCATCCCTGAGTGATGGGTCTGACTGTCAGTCAGTCATTGAGTTCACTGTTTGCTAGAGTTTGTAGTGTTTGTAGTGTTTGTCAGTCAATGAGTGACTGACTTTGAGTCACAAAACAGTCGACACATAAAAAGGTTTTGATTTTTTCCAAACAATTAGTGTTTTGATCGATGTTTTCACTGATTGTCTAATTGACTGTCATTTGATTTATCGGTCAACAAATTGGCCACTAATTGGTCAGTCATTGAACTGTTTGTTTAATCTTTTAATCGTTATATTGATGTCAAAGTGATTGCCGGAAAAGAAAAACAATGTCAAAGTTGTCGATCGGAACCAATGTTGACATTCAAAGAACTAATGGTAAGTTTAGTTATGATTGAAATGAATGACCACTTGTTATCCTTTGATTGATTTATAGGTCGCATACATTCAGCGGTCATCAGTAATATTGATTGGAAGACACGCAGTGTTACCGTTGAATGGTCTGAATCGGATGAGATTAAGGGCAAAGAGGTTAACCATCGATGACATGTCTCACATCTACTATATCTATGTCTTGTTATTATTCAGATTGACTTTGAGTCCATTTTTATGTTGAATCCTAATCTCACCGAAACTAATGGTAACCAATCAGTTGGTGGTATTCCTCGCAAAGTATGTAATCATTTACTTATATATTATAATTAGATTAAGACTATCATTAGTTTTGAATAACTGTTTAAATTGTGATTTAACTAATTGTAACCTTAATTGTTAAGCAAACAAATGTTGAAAATGAGGTAATAATTAGTCATTTTATTATAAAATTTATGTGATATTTCGTATAGTTTATCAAACAATAACACAAATTATGAATATTTGATTAATAATTGTCACTACAGATAGTTCCGGTGCGGCCATCGGGCATAACGGCCCCTTCAACTAAGGGTTCATTACGAATGCGACCATTAAATAATAGACAAACAATGGCCAACGGAAATAATGTTTCATTGGAACCGTTACCAGTTGTCTCGTCATCTGCTAATATAACCACTAATAATATCAATTCAAACCATTCATCTGCTGCTAATAAGTCTGCTATTTTGGCGGCAAATTCACGACGAAGGTCTAATGCAGTTAAAGAAGTGGAGAAAATTAAGAAACAAAGAGAAGAAAGGAGAGCCCGACAGGCGGAACAAAAGGCTGAAAAGATTGAGCTCATGAATGCTGTCGATCCTAATAATCAAAGTCAATGGGAGTTCTTGTCTATGATCAAGGATTATAGGGCTCAACTCGAGTTCAAACCAATTACTATGGATTGTCCAGTGGATTGCCATCAGATATGTGTTGCCGTCAGAAAAAGACCGCTGAATAAGAAAGAATTTTCAAGAAAAGATGTCGATGTCGTCACTATTCCCAATAAAGACTTGACTATAGTTCATGAACCCAAACAAAAGGTTGATTTAACCCGATATTTGGAAAACCAAATGTTTCGCTTTGATTATGCTTTTGATGAGTCGGCAGATAATGAACTCGTCTATAAATACACTGCTAGACCATTGGTACAGACTATCTTTGATGGAGGAATGGCTACATGTTTTGCTTATGGACAGACCGGTAGTGGAAAGACACATACAATGGGTGGAGATTTTCACGGCAAGTCTCAAGATTCTGCAAAAGGCATTTACGCTTTAGCCGCCAGAGATGTCTTCAAATTATTGCGATCCTCGAAATATAGAGCCGAAGATTTGACAGTTTTTGCCAGTTTTTTCGAGATTTATAGCGGAAAAGTATTTGATTTATTGAATGGAAAGGCAAAACTTAGAGTACTAGAAGACGCTAAAAATCAAGTTCAAGTGGTAGGCCTTCAAGAAAGACGAGTAGATAGTGTTGAAGATGTTCTCAAATTGATTCAAATGGGAAACAATATAAGGACTTCTGGTGTGACTTCGGCTAATAATCACTCGTCTCGTTCTCACGCAGTATTTCAGTTGATTTTAAAGAAACAAAATGGAAGACTTAAGGGAAAATTTTCACTAATTGATTTGGCCGGTAATGAAAGGGGAGCTGACACTTCCAGTGCCAATAGACAGACCCGTATGGAAGGCGCAGAAATTAATAAATCATTATTAGCTTTAAAAGAATGTATTCGAGCATTAGGTCGAAAAGGAGCTCATTTGCCGTTCAGAGCCAGTAAATTGACTCAAGTCTTACGCGACTCATTTATCGGTGAAAACTCGAGGACGTGTATGGTTTGTATCATTTAATTGATTATACTTTTTGTCAAAATCTAACAATATATCAATAGATTGCTATGATATCTCCCGGTGTTCTCTCTTGTGAACACACATTGAATACATTGCGTTACGCCGATCGGGTCAAAGAACTTGGAGCTGAAAATCCAGATTTTAAAGGCAGTGATGGCGATGAAGACATGTCAGCCAGTGGTGATGACTTAGCTCTTCTTCATAATTCTAATGTATATATTGTTTAATTAATATAATATTTATATATATATATTATAAATACATAACTATTTTTATAGTCAGGAGAATTACCAGAAGATTTGTATACATTTCATGAAACTATATCTCACTTACAAGAGATGGAGGAAGAAATTCTCGATTTGCATAAAAATGTGATCGACGTATGTTTTATGTCAAATAAATAAACATTAAATTGATTGATAGTATAATATCTTAATTATATAAAATATAACAGAATATTCCGCGTTGGAGTCAAACACATCTAGAACTTCTTCAGATGACATCAGAGGTTGACTATGACGTCGATGTTTATGCCCAACAACTCGAAGAGATATTAGACGATAATTTGGAAGTTTTGCTAAAGTTTAAAGAAAAAGTGGTTAACTTTAGGACACAACTAAATGAAGAAGAGTTAATGAGCAAAAAGTTTGGCTAAACATGACTGTGACTCAACTCATATTAATATTAATGAATATAATTATTTTTTATTAAATGAATTATCGCTTAATTTTTACTAAAAGCTCAAAAAATTTGTAGACATTCCTATAATTTATGTTATATTAATTTTCTATATTTTCTATTTAATTTTTATTCATTACTTTCGAGAGCATTTTAAAATATTAATTATTGTTATATATATACATATTATTTATAATTATTTAACTAATTCGATATTAAGCTTTGAATTAACGATTTACCTAATATAACGGTAAAATTATCGATCATTTCAATGAAATGCTATATAAAACAATTGATTAATGAATGTTAAGGGAGTGCCAAATATATGGTCTAATGTTTTACTGTGTGATCATTTGGCACGAAATGATAGTATATTGGATTCAATGCCAATCTTTATACCATATTTTAAATTTTATTTAAATATAAAAATACATTTTAGTTGAATATAAAATAAATTTTATTCTTTGTGTTATAAAAATATAAACTAATGTCTTAATTAAAAAAAGCTTTAAAGTCAATAAAATAAATTTTCACAGAAAACATTTTATTTATAAATACTGTTTATGCAAATTATAATACTATTGTTTAATTAATTAGCATTTGAGTCAAATAAAGTTTAACACAATAATTATCAAAATCATATTGTTTAATAAAATTTTGATATACTGTACGTTTAATTTATCAATTTATATAAATTAATTAAAAATTTAATGTTTAATTAATATTTTCACTGTTATAATGCTTACAGAGTTCATATAAATGTGATTAATATTAATTCTACCTGTACTATATTTTATGTACAATATATTAATATTATTTCATGTTTGACTATTTATATAAAAATTTTTGAATATATAGTGTATAATTAGAAAATACATACTGTATATGTTTCTATTGTTATAGTAATAAGCTTTACAATAATATGATAGTATTTTATAAATTTGAATTTATAATAAGCTAAGCATACAATACAATGTCAAATATCAATTATGTAAATAATTGAATGACCAATAAAATAATTTTATCAACTATTTGTAGATAATTTTATAGTATTTAAATAAACATTAGTGAACTAATTTAAATTCAATAAAAAATTTACACAATATCTATTAAATAACATCTAATATATAATACCTGAATGTAATAAACTTGTAGAATTGCAGAGGAAATACATAGAAATTATATCAATAGGTAATTACATTTATAATAGGTAGTCGTAATGTAGAGAAAGGATATCAATTTGAGTAAAAAAATATATAATTTATTCAAAGCATTAAAATTTCAATTAGTAAATCGGGTCAAATAATAAGTTATAAATAGATGTAATATTATAAAAAAATTAGTTTTTTGTTATTAAGTGTTTTCGATACTCATATATATATATATTATGGATGAAAAACCTGGTGATAAAGCGTTTAAGATTAGGCATAAGATAATTATTCCCATTATAATTGTCATTGTCTTAGTGGTAGACAATTCATTTGGATTGGGATTAGTTCCAAAACTTGTCACTAGATTTTGTTATAACTCTCAAAATCCATCACAAGTTAATGTGAGTTCAGTTTATATTTATTGAAAAAATTAAATTATATTTAATTATAATGTATATAAAATCTAGAGTCAATGTGTTTTGTGTAATTATTATCTCTTTGATCAAACTGTAAGTTAATATTTTGCTTGTATAGTAAATTTTGAAAATTATACTTTTGAAATATAATTATATATATTTATAATTAATATAATTGTTTAATTAACAGTTATTAGGATGTACCGGATCAGTAAGTTATAATTTTAAACAATTCAATAATTATATAATACTGTATAATTCATATGCAATACATTTATGTTTTTATACATCAGTCTGCTCTGAGTATTAATATAACTGCAGCGCAAGCTTTTTGTGTTATATCCAATTGTCTCGGTGTATGTATTATTATATTATGAAAACTATATTAAAAATAATTAAAAAATTCAATAAATTTGTTGACCAAACAGCAAGTGAGACAATCGCCTGTATTTCTCGGACGTAAAAAGCGTAGCGAAGATAGTATTCAATACAACAATCAGCCAAATGAAGAACACAAGAGTCTGGAGAATACTATTGGAAACGACTATACATTTGAAGACAAAACTCTTCTAAATGATGGCAACAAAGACTCCATTCAAATGGTATATAAATATAATTCAAACGAACAGTTCATTGTTGCAAAAGAAGTCGAAGCTTTGATCATTGATTTACCAGAAATAGAGGACGAGTCGACTATTTCTATATAAATTCAATATACAGTATATCTCAATATATTATTATTAAATATAAATAGATTAACAATTATTATTAATCCTATTATTAATGCATCACTTTTGTGTTATTCATTTGTTTATTACATAATTGCTTATAAATATTTGTCAAATATATTTTTATTGTATTAATATATATAAATATAAAAAATAATTAATAAATGGCTTGAAATAATATTTAATTCAAATAAAAATCTTATTTGTAATTTTTAAAAATTCTTATTTTTAATAATAAGATAAAGTTATACAGAAAACATGCATTTTTCAATAGGAAAAAATTTAATTTAAAAAACATTATTATCATTGATTTAAAATATAATTTATATATATTATATACTTTTATTAAATTAATATTATTTATGTAATGTTAGATATTTCAACATAAATATTGTATAATTATTTGATAATTACACATATGGGCAATATTGTTGAATAAAAAAGTTTGTTGTATAATACAAGTTGTAAATTAAACTAAATAAGTAAAATACAATAAATTAAAATGTGATAACAATTATATAACAATTTAAATTTTATAATACATAGAAATCTGGATTGTCTCTGATCACACTTTTAAATTTGCATACATATAGTATATACAGATTGTATTGACGTAAATATTGATATATTAATAATATTTGTCTTATTTTTAAATCAAAATTGCAATTTTTATATTTAAGTATAAAAATAGTTTTGTAATACAGACTATAATTTTCAGAATAATGTAATTAATTTAAAATATAAATGTAAAATAATTATATAAATGAGTTTTGTCAAAATCAATATAAATCATTTTTATGTATACTATATTAATGTTTATGTTAAACAGATCATATTTTATTATTTTAATGTGTAATTTTTTATCAAGTTAATGTCAAAATATTTTAAAAGTCAATATTCAATGATATATTATATTTGTTCTGATGAGAAATCGATACAAATGTTGTCAAATACTGTAACAAATTATGTAATTAAATAAACAATCATTTTTGGTAGTATTATCTATTTAAAAATCTAATATATATATGATTTAATTGTATCTTTAATTATGTAAAAATGACCCAAAATGACAATTATTGTAATAGCAATAAAAATGTTATGTATTTATGTATTGAAGTATATTTCAATAGATTGACATCAGATTGTCTGCAGTCATTTGTAGTCAAACATTGAATGAGTCTTCCGTTGCATGAATTCAATGCATTCAAACAATTCATTTATAAATCTTGTAATAAAGTATTCACTGATGAGTGAAGACAACAACAACTTTTTAATAACAATTTCCAGTTATTTCTACAGAATTCAAGAATTATAACTCATTTATACCTTATATATAATGACCTTATTTTAAAAAAAAACCATTTTCTTGTTTTTCTCATTTAACAAACAGTTACTTAAGTCCTATAAGTCATCAATTTAATCAAACAGTATTTTAATAAATTTAAAAAAAAAATGTATCAAATATTAACTAATATTAGTTTAATTCTAATATTATTTTTATTTATTTGTTTATCTGTTTACTCACTTCCAGTAGTAAGTAATTTATTATTATTTTTGTAAATTATTTTAAATAAAATTTATTATTTTAAAGACAAGAATGAGAGTTTGTGTCCAATCCAGTGATCCGACACGTCTTCAAAGTCAATGTGTTTATTGTAATAACCGTATGTTTGCGGCCACTGTCCGTCACTGCAATTCAAATGTAATTTAATTTTAATATTATAAGTTAAAAATTATAATTGTAATTAATATATATATTTTTTAATATTTAGACCTATCTTCCAGCGAGTATGTCTGTTGAGGAGGCATTTTGTTTGGTTAGGTTATGTAGAAAAGTAGGTCCAAATTTGATTACTTAAATCATAATAATTTTAAATTATATATTCCTATAATACTCTTATCGTATATAAAGCAAATGCCTGCACTAAGACCTGAGCCATACTACCCGGGCATCATTGGTGGTAATTTACAGACATCTGTTGATGATATTCCTGCCAATGATATTGACTACACAGAACCGGAAGCTCTGTATTCAGAAACAGCAACCAATACTGCATCTCAAACAACATTTAAGAAAAGGCCCGCCGCCTCCTTTTCTGTTGGTAAACCTCAGCGACCATTTGGTAATATTTTTTATTTTTATTAATGTTTTACTCATTTTAATAATTTATAAAATTTTCAGTTTAAAAATGTTTTCAATTAGAGATTTAAGTGATGTTTAAATAAAAGTATAAATTATATTATATTGTATTAATATTATATATGAGACACAATCTGAAAAAACTTAATATGAAACTGTATTTAACATCTATTGTCTATTATAGGCCGTCCTTTTCTTTTTGGTAAATGAATTATTTGATCATTAAATTATCAATACTTTGGTATCAATAAAAACCACGATATCCCAGATTTTTCACATTTCACTTTAAATACCATAAATTGTCATAATTTGCATTAGTCTTATAACTTGTAGTAAAATATAGAAATATTTATCTTTTATAAATTATATTTTTATATATTCATTATTATTTTTATATTTATATTCTATATTAATATTTTATGTCAATATTATATAACTTATATTGAATGCAACAATTGCTTAGATTATTATCTCTAAAATATTTTATATAACAATAAAAATAAATTTATAATATAGAAAACTTTTATGTAATTTCATGATTAGTTGATTTAAATAAAAACTAATTAAAAATATTTATTATCATTCAATTTTATTAATTCAAATAAATTAGTAAATAAATTTATTCTAGTATTTAATTTTTTAATTATTTATTAACGGTAATTGTCTTATCACGCAAATGTTAACTTGCTAATTTTTATATTCTAATAAAAAATAAACTAATTTGCTGATTGTTTCCTAACGTGTTTAATCATTAAAATAATACTAATATGTTTTATAAAAATTCTATATTAATTGTGATTTATTGATAAGCTGTATATATTGTAAATTTTGTTATATTATAAATAAAAAAAATTAAAGATATTTAAATACATTTAACACGAATACTGACATCACAAGTGATACAAAACTTTGACTTCAATGGATATTAAGGCAACTATTATATAAGTCTGTAAGTGTCAGGTCTGACCCTAAGTTGACCACCACTTAGGATGAAGAGAATTAAATCTCATCGAAACTACAAATATACCGCTAGTTTGCCGATAAAGGTTGTAAAAAATAAAATAAACTAAACTTAGACTTTATGTTATCTATTAACAAGTTGTTCCAACTAATTCAAAATTATTATCTATAAGCTTATGTATTCTAACAATTGTTGTTAAAATTATTATAGATTTATTTAAAATAAGTAAATACTAAACAATTATAAGAATATAAATATAAAACACTATCGACTATTAATTTAATTTTAATATTTAGTATAATTGTATTAATATAATTGTATTGATATATTTATTTAATTTCTACTCAGTTGTTATTTAAAATGATAAATTATTAATAGATATTAATATATTAATAAATTATATGGCAAACTATTGAGAGAGGGAAGTTTCCTAATAAAATCCGTCCAATTTTCACAGCAAATAGAGAAAATATTTTATTTTCCCTCCAGAGCTCGTTAGAAAGGAAAATATATTTTATATTTCTACAATAAATAATACTAAAACTTAATTTTTTTGCATATATAAGTTTATACCTGTATTATTAGTGTATTTTTAAATTAATTTTTTTATTTTAATAACACTAAAAGTTTTGTCAATTATATCATTGAATAATAAACTTTAACAAATAAATTATATAACTGTGTTAAAGGGTTGAAGGAAAGTCATTGTATGACTGATTAGATAATGGAGTTATAAGTATTTCAATTTTCAAATATCTTTTACATTAATCATTTACAAAACCATTTGACGATTTAGTTATAATCAATAAATGCTTGAAAGCTAATTGAATACTTGACATTACAACTAATTATAAAATTTATTATAAGTAATAACTAAATAACATTTTAAATTTAAAGAAATTCATTAATTAGTAAATAGTTTGACAACACCTGTGTATTCAATCCTAATCTGATTTATATATATTTACAAAAAAATCATTTTGACATTTGATTATCAAATGAAATAACATAATAATTAAAATTATTTTAAAAATATTAAGGAAATTTATAAATGTTATTTTTAAATTAAGTTTTTTATATTATAAATAAAGTCCTAGGTGATTGTAATAAAACAGATACAAAACAGATTACTATTAATTATAGATATAATTGTTTGTTTAAACTACAGTATCAAAAATGTATGGTCACTATAGTTAGCAGAAAAATTGCAAAAAATAGTGTCTATTGTATGAAACAACTAGTTTTTAATATAAAATTGTGGTAAAAGTTGATGGGATAGGTATGAGATGGTATGGAAAGGTATGACGAGATCGTTGACCACAAAGAAAGCAAAACTGGTCTCACTTTTGCCTCTAAAGTCTTATATGAGAAGTGATGTAACAAAAGGGCAAAAACCTAGACTTAAATGTCATCAATAATGTAGTCATATATATGAGTGAGAGAACCCTCAATCAAATATATGGGTTCTCCTATAATACCATTACTGACTAACTGTGCAATCAATGGTTGACGTAATCTATTTCTAAGAAACTATTAAACCATATAATTATGAGAAAAGCACTATATTTTGTGAGAGGGCATGGGTTGGGTCACTACCGGTTTACGGGGGTTTCTAAACAAGAGGTACAAATAAATGAGCATGCACATTTTGATTATACATTTTATTATTTATTTATTTTATTATTATTTATTTATTAATTTAATTAAAATAACAATAAAATGATTGTATATAATATGTAATTAACCGGAAGGGGTAGTCAGGGTATGGTCTGTAATGGGATGGGCAGAGGGGGTGTATAGGCGCTGGTATGGCATAATCAGTAGTGCTATCAGTCCATCAGTTTATATGTCTATACTATAGTATTGAATGTATTTTGTGAGCAATGCTTTGCAGAGAGAGTGTGACATAAACTGTGTATAAACTATAGAAACTCTTATAGAAACCTCTCATACAAACAGTGTATACAACTATAGAGTGAATGCATTGAGTGTTTGGCTTAACATCGACTGAGTTGTTGTGTTGTGCTCTCAGTTATCATACAAATGGCGATATCAGTGACAACAACGATGAAGATGTGACCATCACTTGAGCCAACACACCATCACATGTCTTGACAAGTGTTTGAGTAAATTATTGAAGGCTTAAGAATGTGTAAACTGAAGCTCATGAGTCCGGCCGGTGCCGAATCTGCAGAGTATGACTGGCCTCTGACCAGTTCGGTAGGTCTGACCATTGATGACATACTTGTCATTTGATGGCATTAACACAATATATATGTTATATCATAATTAACATCATATCGACACTACAAGACATACAAGTGTTTAAACCACTTGTTTTACTTTACTTTTAATTAAATTACTTTTAATTAACTTAAATAATAATAATATAATTGAATGAAATTAATTATAAACTTTTGTTATATAAATTTAGGACAAATATGACGGCGCCATTGAAATTGTTGACACAATCAGGTAATGATTTGTTTTCTATATTAATATATATATCATATTATAGTGACCTTTAAATTAGTGTTTAAATTAAATTAAATATATTTACTATGATATCTAAAGCATGGTTTTCAATATTTAATGATATTTTAATAAAAATCATAAAAATTGATGACTTAATGCTATTCAATGTTATTGAAAGCAATATAATAGTTATTAATTAATGTAATTTAAATATGTTTAATATTGATATTTATTACTATCCTATAATTTTCTTATTAAAATTTTAGATATAATATATTTACAATTGATTTATTTATTAAAGTAATTATAAATAAATTTTATTTGAGTATTTAATTAGTTTACAAATTAAAAATAAATGATTTAACTTTTTCTCAATGATATTTTCTCAAAAAATGGTTTACGTATACAAATAATATATATATTGTAAATATTTATATTTATAATGTGTTAATAAGTATAAGTATTAAATAGAGATTTATTTATTTAATGGCAAACTTGAGAGTTTAAATAGTAATGAAAAAATAAGAGAAATCCTTGAATTTAATGCTTTATATGATTTAAATGATATTTTCAAAGACATGTATGTGAGGATCACCCGGACATCAAAAAGGCAATGGAGATGAATGTACTCAATGCTTACGATACTAAATGGTTTGTTTCAATTTAAATATGTTTATTCATTACTCAATAAATTTTTATATTTACAGTTTTGAAAGTATGAAAACTTTGTGTGATAAATATAATCGCGTTATTTCAAGTACTTTACCACTGGTATGTCATCTTTTTTTTGTAATCAAATTTATAAATATTGTAATACAAAAATTATAAATAAAAAATAAATATTTTTTTAATTTAGTGGAAAGGAATAGCATTGAGAGCACCTTCTAAGCCATCGACAAATCTATTAAAACACATAATTCAAAAAGTATACAACTATTCAGTGACAGATCCCGATAAACTCAACCAATACGAGCCATTTTCACCAGAAGTCTATGGGGAGACATCGTTTGAATTCATTTCTCAGATGATCAATGAAATTGGTTTAACATCTGATGATGTATTTGTTGACTTGGGTTCAGGTGTGGGACAAGTGGTCTTACAGGTAGCGGCGGCCACCAATTGTCGCGTCTGCTACGGCATTGAAAAAGCAGACGTGCCCTCCAGTTATGCCCAAACAATGAACAAAAGATTTACGTTTTGGATGCGTTGGTTCGGTAAAAAACATGTCGATTATCAGCTGATTAAAGGAGACTTTTTCCATAACGGACATAAAGACATTATTAACAGCGCGACGTAAGTGTTTCGATAAAAAGTTTCGATTAAAAAACTAATGAAATTAATTTAAATTTAGATTTATTTTTGTAAATAATTTTGCTTTTGGTCCGACTGTTGACCACATGCTTAAAGAAAGATTTGCTGATATGAGAGATTGCGCTAAAATTGTTTCCTCAAAAGCCTTTTGTTCACTTAATTTCCGAATAACTGATCGCAATCTGAGTGGTATGTATTTTATTACCGATAATAAAATCATAAATTTTAATGTAATGTTTACTGATATGTAGATATCGGAACAATTATGGATGTCTCAGAAATACAGCCTAAAAAGGGTTCAGTTTCGTGGACCGGCAAACCGGTGTCTTATTACTTACATGTTATCAATAGAACCAAATTAGAGAAATATTTCGAGAAACTTAAAAATCCTAAAATAAAGGTAAAACTAAATTTCTATATTGTTATAAATTTTGAAATTTTATAAAATTTTATTTATTAGAACAATAACGAAGAAGAAAATAAAAATAAGAAAAACCAGATAAAACCCGAAAGTAGTATTAGTAACAGTGATTCGTCATCTAATGACTCGAAAGATAATAATTCGGAGACATTTCCCAAATGGACGCGTAAAGCATGGTCTGAGTGGTGCAATAGCAGCAAAGGATCCACTAATGGTAATCAGAGTAGTGGTAGTCAACACAACGGTAGTTCAGATCACGAAAGCAATGATGAGTCTGAAAATATTCCGCGAAAGAAGAAATACAATCGAGTGGGACGGCCTCGCAAATACCCATTGGGTGTAAGCGCTGCCATCAAACGTGCTAAACGAAAGCAATCTTTTATCGACAGTCCTGGTCGACGACCCGGAAGACCGCGTAAAGACGGCAAAGGCATCAATAAGTCTAAGAAATCATTTATGTTTAATGGACTCGACTTACTTCACGCGCAAACCGTTCTCAGCATTTCATCGTCTGCGGGACAACGATTAGAACCGGCGCCGGGATGTGTTGACCAAAAATTAGATACTTCTTGCAGAGTTACTTCAGTGCCTAATGTTGTCATAAGAGACACATCATTGTTCTCAGTTTCTCCTGATTTGACGGAACTGTTAGACACTTGGAAACAACAAATACTTCAGTTTATAGCATATATGCAAACACCTCAACATAAAGAAGTTCTTAAGAAGCAGATTGAAGACGAAAAGGTATATAAAATTAAAACTAAAATTTTAATTGAAATTAAATTATATTTTATTTTTTAGAAAAGAAACTCTGACTTAATAAACCAATTGAATTATTTGGAGAAACAAATTAAAGGTCTTCTTGAAAAAGGTGTTACATTATTAAAGTCACGACTCTTTGAATTGGGTATCAATTCCTCGACATCTAATGAGTTATTAGAAAAGGGCAAAGAAATGGTGGCTCATAATAGAGAATTACAGATAAAGGAGGCGTCTCTTAGAAAGATTGTAAATATTTTGGAGACGAAAAATAATTTATTAACGAATAAAACTCAACGAACTGAACCTTTAATAACCAATTCAAATACCACACATTGTGGGAATGGTTTTCGTAAAAATAAAGATAATATTTTGACTGAATTAACAGCAATGTTGGAACAGAAGAAGCAATTGTCTTCGAAAGTAAATCAATTAGAAGAAGAAGTTTCTATTTTGGAGAAATCGCAAAATATGTTGACATACAAGTCATCTCATATTATAAATAATAATAATAATAATACTAACAATACTGAGAGTGGATCGACTGCTATTAATAATGGCCAACATATGGGTGTCATAGTGTCTAATGACTCTAAATATAAATATATAAATAATTCAATAAAACTTCCCAATTATGAAGAGAGAATAAATTCTTTAATAATTCAAGCTCTCAATGAAGGGAATACATATCCAAACAAGAATTCTCACAGAAAAGGAGTTCAGAATCTTAAGAATCAAAATGATATTCAGTCCAATGTTAACACTAAAGATAAGGATTGCAATATTGTTTCGATTAAAGAGAGTAATGTGAGTAACAAAGAGGTGTCACATAATTCAGTGACCACTGAAACGAACCATAAAGAAGGCAACGGCAGCCAAAGTCTCAGCTCATCAACAAATGAATATAATTCACCAAAAAATCATTCACCTAAAAGATCAGTAGACAGAATGCAAGACAAACCATACGAAAAGAAACCACTTCTCATGACACTAAAGATTGACCGCAAAGACAACAGCGCCTCTATTAAGGAATGCAATTCACCGATAACTGAGACATACACTAAATATAGCGATTTAAAACATAAAAGAAAATCAAGTGATGACTCAAATTATAACCGAAAAAAGTATGTTTTAATTATAACGTGTGTTAAACAAATTTTACCAAAAAATTAATTATTTATAGATCAAAGTCTCCTTCCTCTTCACCGAACAACAACTCTGACAATACTCGTCGACCTTCTGTTGTGATAAAATTTTCGGGAATATCAACTGATAAGCCCGTGACCGGTGAGGAAGTGATTAAAGTTAGCACATCTGACCACAAAAAGAGTGAACGTATGTCATGTTATATATTAATATTTATTTTTATGATTTTTGTGTTATTAATTGATATTTAAACAACAGATACAAAGACAAAAGCAATGAATTGCAAGATGGAGTCAACACAATCTGTATTGAATGGTAAGCATAAGTGGAGGGACAGTATAGACAGTAGATTTGATAAATTGATTGCATTGGTTGAGCATCAGATTGAACCGCACAAACCAAATATAATTCCAAGTTTTTATTGTTAACATTAATACTTGTTTTAGACTTTTAAACAATTAATTTATTTAATTGATATTATAGTTAATTATATAGTGATATATTATAAATTATAGTTAAATTATATAGTAATAAATATAACATAACCATTGATATAATAGATTATTGAACTGCCATTTTTGGGATTTCTATTAAACATAAGTTATTATTGACTGCCATTTTTGTCATTTTTATTAACACATAATTAAAATATAATTAACTGCCATTTTTGTCAACACTTTAAATCATATATTAATTATTGCAAAACACTGCCAATTAACAGCTCATATGTTAATATATGCCCTTTAAATCCATTGTTATACTATTTATAACTTTTGTTTATATATAAGTATATACTGTATATTCATTATCTCATTATTTATTGAATTTTTTTTTATCAAGCATCAATTATTATGTAATTTTATCTATATCTATATATATATATATCTACCTATATATATAATGTATATATTTAAACCATTTAAATAAAAGTAAATAAACAATTGTTTGTTTAATTTTTAATAATTATTTGTAAATCAAGTAAATTAAATTAAATTTAACACATTTTTTGTATTACCGTAACTATAATATAAGTTATGGTCATTAATAGAGGTTAGAATTAATACGATTAAGTTTTTAAAAACTTGTCGAAACCGATACTGTTTTGGTTCGGGTTTTGTTTTTCGGTTTAGAATTGGTTTTAAAAACTGGTGAACTAAAGTATTCAAAAATAAAATTAAGTATTTTTTAATAAATTGATCTCAAAATATATGCTTTTGACAATTTAACGACAATATTATTTTATAATAATTATAAAGACTTGTTTTGTCAGCGATTGGAAATAACGGGCAATTAGGAGAGGGTGATGGTCGTGGTTATAGTGGTTCAAAGGTCATATTACATACTGTTTTATTCAAATTATTGTATGATATGTATGGTGTATATACCGATATATATATAAGTACAGTAAAGTATTTATATTAATAATGTCTATTATTTATAATTTGTATGTATTATTATAATCTGAATAATTATTGTTACCTAATTTGTAAAAAGGGTTAGTTATGTGTTATGTCATAAGTTATGTTAAGTGAATGGAGTATAGTATTGTAAGTTACAATTTGTAACAAACATAGGGTCGGGATTAGGTTTATATGATTGCGTAATATTAGGTTTAGTCAACTTAGGCGTACAATGATAGACGACAGTATTGTATTAGACTATATAATATGACCTTTGAATCCCTCCCCTCCCTAAACCCTTGATTCCCAGTCATTGACATCTATATATTATGACACCTTATGACAGACCGTAAGCTTTTTATGCCATCCAACAAATTGAATAGACTCTACACTGTAGTCTACAGTAGAGTTCGGAAGCATAATCTAAGAACCGAACTGAACCGAAACCGTTTAGATTCCGATCTCTAGTTTACAAATACTATTTCATTTTAATACAGTTTATTGTTAAAAAAAATATTAGATTTTAAATTAATTAATGATTTCTATTAATTTAAATTTTTTATTAACAAATTATTTACAATTAATATTATAATCATTAGTCAAATGCCATTACAGGTTATATGGGGTCATATATAGAGTTATACTGTATTAAACAATTAATACAATAATTTATGTTTAGATGATTTGACGACAAACTAAAGTATAGTTCAATTCCAACGACTTTTTTTCTTTGGTTTTTCATCTGAACTCATATTAGACTTCCATTGTGTGTCTGTAGCGGCCGTGAAATTAGACTTATATTGAGCCGAAAACGCAGATTTCATAACATTTACACGATTTGATTGTGAATTAGTTTGCAATGAACTCGTTGTTGGAGTCGATGATGATATTATAGATGAAGAATATGTATTGCATTTATCATAATTTAAAGCAGAGCTCTAGTTTTAAAACAAATTTAATTACCGGTAAGTTATTTAAAAATAATTAGTTAGTCATACTTGAGCTCCTAAACCAAGTCGTGGACGGCTTTTAAATCCAAGTCCAACTCCGCCGACATTTAATTTCTTCGCATTTTTCCCTCTAAAACGTGATTTCTTAAACCATTGGCTTTGCATTGCCAAAGCTAACAGTTTGTCGGGAACGAGTTGATTGGCGCCCTCCAGATTGCGAACTAAATGTCCCGCAAACTCAGTGTCTTTATCAGTAACTAAAGTATACGCCACTCCTTTTTCACCCGCTCTACCAGTTCTTCCAATTCTATGTGTATGCGTATCGATATCTCTGGCCATATCATAATTGACAACTGTTTTAACGTGAGTGATATCAAGACCTCGAGCGGCAACATCTGTGGCTACAAGTATGGAGACCTGTTTGCGCTTGAATTCTGTAATAACTTTATTTCTTTCAATTTGATTCATATCTCCGTGAAGTAAAACAACTTCCATATCATGAGTCTTAAGATTTGTAGCCAATTCCTCTGCATTGGCTTTTTTAGTGACAAAAATCAAAACACTTCCTTGTGTTGTGAATTCAACAATCTTTGATGTTAACCACTCCCACTTTTTTGGTCCCGAATCAAACACAATCATTACTTGTGTGATGTCCTCATTTGCTTCTCCGACTTCTCCTTGAACTATACGAATTGGATCTATTAGTATATCTCTGGCCAACTTTTCAACCCTTTTCTTAAACGTCGCACTAAACATAAGTGCTATCAAAATAAACTCATAAAACTTAATAATTTTTTTCAAATTATAAAATATTTATATTTCAATAACACTTACTTTGTCGATCAGGTCTCACGTGATTACTTATAGATCTGACTTGAGGTTCAAATCCCATGTCAAACATGCGGTCGGCCTCATCCAAGACCAGGAAAGTTACTCTCAATAAGTTCGTTGATTTAGATTTAATTAAGTCTATTAATCGGCCCTAAAAAGCAAAGAAATAATTAAAGTAATGTTTGCAATAAGTGTGTCATTACAGGTGTGGCCACAATTATTTCGGCACCATTTTCCAAATCCTTTGACTGTTCGTATTTATTTCCTCCTCCATAAGCGCACACTATATTAATTCCATAAACTTTACCGAATCTCTTGGCCTCAGTATATATTTGTTGAGCTAATTCACGAGTCGGCGCCAAAATTAGACCAATAGGTCCATCACCTGGTTTCAGATCGGGCTGATCCATGATATGCACCAAAAGTGGCCAAATAAATGCTGCTGTTTTTCCTGAACCAGTTTTTGCAATACCGATAATATCTCGTCCATTGAGTGCTGCGGGAACGGCCTGAGCTTGAATAGGTGTGGGTTGAGTGTACTCTAATTTTCGGATGGTTTTCAACAATTGGTCATCAAAACCGAAGTGTCCAAAACTGGCAACAGGTTTAGGAGGTAAAAGACCTGAAACTTTAATCCCAAGTTTTTGTCTTAAATCATTGCATTCAGTTATCGATAATTTTGCGATGTCTTCGTGTTCAACATAAAAGTTCTTTTCAAATGAGGAGTAAATGATTTCCGAGTGATATATTGGTGGCAATGGATCAATCATTTTTGACTTGAAATTCCCTATAGGATTGCCTTCGGTATCGTATTCTATATCATCAGCGTCTTCGTCATCACTGTTGGCCACAAATGTCCCGACGCCGGCCATTGGGTTCTCTTCCATATATCTATAATACGATTCTTCTTCATCTTCTTTTTCTATATCATCTCTTATACCTTTCATTTTAGATAATTTATCGGTTTTCAATTTGTTGGCCATCGATGACATGCTTGGCATAGATTTTGATGGTTTGTTCGGTTCTTTTGTTTGTTTTTCAAGACCAGCCATAAAAGCATCCAAAGGGTCTTCTTCTTCATCGTCTTCATCATTATTATTATCATTGCAATCGGTGTTTAACAAAGGACTTCCCGGATTTGGCTGATAAGGTGTTTGTTGTTCGTCTGGGTTTTCGTCTGGGTTTTCGTCGTCTTCGAAATAGTCGTCATCTGTTCGGTGTCTTTGTCTTCGGTTAACATAATTGAATCCAAAAGTCTTAGATTCCGTCGGAATGTCTGTACATTTGCTATAAGATTGTCTTTTATTGATGTTTTCTGGCGGCGGAACCGTTCGGAAATCGCGGCGATTATCGGAATCCATGTAATCCATGATTGGATCAGTTGGTCATCAGATTGTCTTCAATGACCACAACAACACATTACTAATAAACATTAAATGAGTATAAATTACGACAAAATAAATGATTAACTTTTGACTTGATTTCCATTGAAAGACAATTCATTCAAATTATGTTTACATTTGACGTCATTTGTTGTCAATTATTAATACAGTATTTAATAGTTTTTATAACATTTCTAATAATTTATTATTTATTTACAGTATTTGTTGAATGAGTGAAACTTTTTTTGTTATTCAAACCAATTGTGTGCCAAATGTTTAGTAATTATTATTAAAGTCTAACTTATTATTAGTAAATTAAATATTAATTATAATTAGTATTGAATTAAGTATTAAATGGATTATTACGAGGAATATAGCGATTATTTGAACCAATTTATTGAAAACGACTGTAAGTTATGCTTATTATGACATTAACTCAATAGTTGTTAAGTTAGTTAATAATCAGTTATTGTTTGAAATTATTAATTATATGATTAATATATTGATAATGATTTTCATAAGATTAACAAATTATAGGTTATTATTAAATAAATGTTGACCTAATTATTAATTAATTAAGTTAACAATGTTTTCATTTATAAAAATTTAAAGTTAATTAAATTATTTTAACTCAAACTTTATGACAAATAAGTTTTTTTAATGAGAAAATTTGCAAATTTTATAATTGATATCAATTATCTGATAAATTATATACACTATTATATTATATGGATATTTGTTTGAATTGAGATAATAAAATGATTTAATAAAAATCTAAAATAATGTCACAGATGTGGATGTGATGGACAATGAAGACAATTACGATGTCTTCAATGACTGCGTATTTCCGACTCTTAACGACGGAATCAATAAGTTTTTGGCTCCGATTGTCGTTTCAAATGTCATTTTAAAGTTTGTCACACTTTTCATCAATAAATTGATTGTTAAACAGTTATTAACGATAGCGACGGGACTTTTACTACTATTTTATCATTTTTACGACGATTTAAAATTGTTTGTCATTTTATGTGCCTTTATATCGACCGGTGCTGTGATGTCACTGATGTCTGCAAAACATAAGACCAAACTTTGGATGTTTTCAATTGGTTTGATTTGTATTAATGAATCAATTGTTTGGTTAAATCCACACTTTATTCGTCTTCGTTCACATCAAATGCTTTTAGTTATGAAAATTATTTCATTTAATTCAATGATTAATCAAATGCAAGACAACAGTGGAAAAGATTTGCCAATAATTGGATCATTGATATCATCTCTTAATTATATATTACATCCATTATCTTCTTTATTGGGTGTTTGGCATCCCTTTGAAGTGGAGAAGACTAACAAATCATTAAAAATAGCAATAATTGAATGCATTTATTATCTGTTAATATCAGTAATGTTTTTATTATTGTCGACGTGTTTAATACATTACTATATCGGCCAACGATTTATTTCATACATTGTTATATCATTGACAGCATTATTACCCCTGACTTTCATATACTTAATAGAAATTTGTTTAACTGTTTATATAACAGCACTTCAGTTCAGATTTTCTCATTATTTTATATGTTTTGCCACACAATCTATGCTTCAGTTATGGAATTCAGAGTAAATTTTTTAAATTATATTTAAATAATTATTATATATTATATATTATATATTATATATTATATATTATATATTATATATTATATATTATATATTATATATTATATATTATATATTATATATTATATATTATATATTATATATTATATATTATATATTATATATTATATATTATATATTATATATTATATATTATATATTATATATTATATATTATATATTATATATTATATATTATATATTATATATTATATATTATATATTATATATTATATATTATATATTATATATTATATATTATATATTATATATTATATATTATATATTATATATTATATATTATATATTATATATTATATATTATATATTATATATTATATATTATATATTATATATTATATATTATATATTATATATTATATAAGAAGGCGGTCAATCGATCTTGAGCGGCGTATTTTTTGAATAACTTTTGAACGGTAAGAGATAATTTAATTCTGTAAAATACATTTAAGAATATCATATCGACCTGACTTAATATACACGAAATCACAAAACTAGGATGACCAGATATACAAAATATCGGGACCAACGAAAGACACTATGCTACAGGTCAAACTACAACTCACAAATTTATTATGACAGGCAAAATTTGTAGTCAATAAATAATAGTTTAATATAAAAAAAGAATCATCAAAATTGAATTGCTAGTTTTGTTTTTATGACTTGTTAAGTTTGTCATAAATCCTATTATATAAAATAGTGTAAAATAAAAATGACGTAATTTATGAATATTATATGTTTATTAGATGATATTTTCAAATATATTACTAATTCTAAAAACGAAATTTTAATATGTCGACTAGTTTTCGAAATATTCGAATTTCAATATAAATCACATTATTGTAATTTGATATTATAATTTATATTGAAATTCGATTATTTCGAAAACGAGTCGAGTTATTAAAATTTCGTTTTTAGAATTAGTAATATATTTGAAAATATCATCTAATAAATATATAATATTCATAAATGACGTCATTTTTATTTTAGACTATTTTATATAATATGATTTATGACAAACTTAATAAGCCATAAAAACAAAACTACCAATCCGATTTTGATGATTCTTTTTTATGTTAAACTATTATTTCTTGACTATAAATTTTCATAATCATAATAAATTTATCAATTTTAGTTTGACCTGTAGCATAGTGTCTTTCGTTGGTCCCGACATTTTGTATATCTGGTCATCCTAGTTTTGTGATTTCGTGTATATAAAGTCAGGTCGATATGATATTCTTAAATGTATTTTACAGAATTAAATTATCTCTTACCGTTCAAAAGTTATTCAAAAAATACGCCGCTCAAGATCGATTGACCGCCTTCTTATTATATATTATATATTATATATTATATATTATATATTATATATTATATATTATATATTATATATTATATATTATATATTATATATTATATATTATATATTATATATTATATATTATATATTATATATTATATATTATATATTATATATTATATATTATATATTATATATTATATATTATATATTATATATTATATATTATATATTATATATTATATATTATATATTATATATTATATATTATATATTATATATTATATATTATATATTATATATTATGAAAACTTTGATAGTATTGGCGTAACAAATGTGATGTCAATAGAAATGCCGCGATCTTTGGTTTCAGTGGTGATTGCGTGGAATATTCCGATGCATTTGTGGCTACATTCGAGTAAATTCAAAATATTCTTCAATTATAGTATTAATCAATTATTTCAATATTTTTTTATTAATTTATTTTAAAGATGTATTTCTTCCGTCCAAAAGAAGTTTTGGTGCATTTAAAGCAATTTTTATAACATATATCATCAGTTCCTTTCTTCACGTATATCATATAATTTGAATTTCTTTTTAATTGTTTGAAAATATTACATAAATATCTTATAAATTATTTTTTTATCAAAATAGGGATTTAATTTTCAGATATGGAGTGTTCTCTTGAGTTTAGGATTGTTAACCAAAATTGAGTACGAATTAAGACAAGAATTGTCTAAAATCTTTAGCGCATGTATTCATGTTAGGCGTTGTCACTATAAAGAGTTGTCTACTAATGGTACCACTCATGAGACCAATAAATACCAATCTATTATCAAATTTTGGAATTTCTTGAGTTTTAAATCAAAAAGAAAAGTCTGTGACAACAAATGGCATCACAGATACACTGAATACAACTGCAAATGGGTTTCAGTGGTCAACATATTGTTTGCATGTCTGGCTGTCTCTCATCTCGCATATCTTGGATCTACATTTGATGGCAAAGAAGAGGTCTGTTTTTATCACTTTTATAACACATTAATAATTATTAACATTTATTTTATTTAGTCGTCATTTGTTTCAAATGTGATATCTGTTTGGAGTGAATTGAAATATTTTTCTCATATAACCGCTTTAATTACATTTATCATATATTTTATAATAATTAGATAAAATCATTTTTGTTTGTTTACTATATTTGCCAATTTTTTACTCGTTTACAATGTTTTCAAAAAATAATTTATTATGGTTAAATTTTAATTTTTAAGTATTCATATATAAACAGCTCTACAATACTTGTTTAAATATAATCATTACATTTTGTAATTTTTTTATAAATTTAAAGTTTAAAGAATTATAAATAAATTTTCATCCAAATTCATATTTTAAATCAAAAAAATTATTAATAAATATCAAAAATATCAATCATTTAACAATATATAAAATATTTTACGATATGATAAAAAGCATAGCCGTCGGGACTAGATTTAGATCTTTAAGAGTTTTATTTAGATGTTCATCAGTGAAGACATCTGTACCACATTTAAGGTTAAACTTATCGATTGACTCCAAGTATGCTAACAACCAATTCTTTACATCACAAAGTATTTCATTTGATCCAAAAGTGGCTTCAATTTTGACACCATTCGGACAATTAAATCTTAGTCGAGTGTATTTTGAATCAATTTTTCTTTGCTTATGTTCTTTCATTGCTTTAGTTCTCAATGTTTCTTCTGTTTCTCTCTTATCAGTCAATGATTGCATTTCACGTTTCACTTCATCGGCTGATAATTTAAAGAAATCTTGACTTAAATCTGTTTCTCGAAACGATTGTTCTGTGTTAAGGTGTACTACTTGTCGATCAATAATTAGAGGGAACTGTTCGACATTATTCAAGACATCCTTATAGTAAATCATTTGTTCACAAATATCTGTTATCTCATCAAATTGAAAAACAAGCCAATCATCAGAAGAATCTGATTGAAAACCAATTGAAGATAAGAACTCGAGTCCGCCCTTCAAATCTAATACTTTGTTTTGAATCTTTGATTTTCTAATTTTTGAAAATTTCTCTCTTTCTTCAACACTACTTGTCATTAAATTGGTGACCACTTTATCCAATACTTTAATGCATTCACTCACTCTTTGTTGTGCATTATCGCCAATATTGTGATTGCAATTAACAATCATAAGTGCAGACATAAGTGTCAAATCTTCTGTAAAATTCATTTGAATATAATCACACATTCTTTCTATCAATTGATCCAATTCTAACGATTCATTTAACTCAATTGTGGGACAAGTGAATCGTTGTTTTGAATCAATGTCTTTATATTTATTGACCAATTTTTCTTCTTCCTTCATTATATTCTATGAAAATTTATCAATAATTAAATTAAGTGGTAATTATTTAAGTTATTATATCTATATCTAAACTACTATATAATTTGGAAATGATTGTATGTTTGTGTCATATTTGTAAACAAATGATTTACTATAAGGATTAGGAAGTAAAACATGGATCAAAATAATTGTATTATAAATCGCTTCAATTGATTTAATATTTCTAATCTGAGATAATCTAAAACAACTGATAATTATTAATATATTTGAATCAACTTATGAATACCAGACGTATTACTGGTAATTGTTATCATTTTGAAGTCCAGTTAAAATCATAAATAAAGTATAAAATTAATATCTTTAACATTTCCAATGACATCATTAGAAGTTACTAACATAACCCGACCCGACCCGACCCGACCCGACCCCACCCCCACTACCTAATGTTATAAACAGTAAAAACATTTATAATTTCCGTAAGAATATATAGAATTAGAATAAACCGATTAAAATAATTGTTATTAAATCCAAATAATGTTCACAAATACCTCAGTTTGTTCTTTAGCTTTGTATTCTTCGCGAATCTTTTGTTTTTCTTGTTGAAGAATATTCTCTAAAGTAGTGTTTCTTGTGTTCGACTGATTCTGTCTTTGAATGCGTTCAATGGCCGCTTCACCCGCTTTTTGTTTTGACATATTTTCTCTATAGGTATGTGACTTGGGATTAGCTGTTGACGTGTTGGCCATAGATGTAGAGCCAGTGGATGACGTGTTGTTGTCAGTCAATCGGTGTCCACTACCAGCCATCTTGAACTTTGTGTCTAATTTTTTCTTTTTGAAGAAATCCTTTATGTTTGAGATGGGATTTGAAGCCATAAGTACTGATAATGTCTTAAATTCTCGGCGAATGTTCTTTCGGTAGCTTTAGTTCCAGTGCTTCGCGACGTAATTGGTCTGTAAAGTGATAATAATTGTTTTGACACCAATTAGTTGCAAATCATGTCAAATGTTACCTAAAATTTGTTGTTTCTCTTCCTTTCTTGAGATCAACAATTGTATTCTTGAGCCGTAGTTGTTCCAGAAGATCACTATTAGTATAATATTAGACACGAATAGCACTAATAACCAGAAAAGCAATGAATCAATCATTTGATGCAATTGTTGTCAAAATGTTTATCCGATTATTCATTGATTATATGAGTCATACAATTCATATATGAAGTAACCATTAAAATAGAGTTATACTGTACTGAACTGTAGACTAAAGATCTGAACCGTAATGGTTTCGGTTCTTAAATTTCGGTTTCGGTTTTTAAAACGGTTATTCGGGAATTCTCGGAAATTTATTATTTATTAAATCGTCTGGAATTTAATATTTATAGAAATATAGTAACATTTTCAATGAAATTGTTTTTCTCGATTTTTGGTGTTTTTTTACAAAATTCCGAAAAAACACCGAAAACACTATTTAAGTGTTTTTTCCCCGAAATTAGATAACTATTGATTGTCATATCAATTAAATACATATTGATTACAATATTAGCGATACATATAATACAATATTAACTCAATAGCAATGAATGAGATGATATATATTGAGAGAAAAACACAGTTTAGAGTCTAATTTAGTCTAAACTTTAGACAATATTTTGATTATTGCTATAAAAACTTTAGTTTTGTATGTATTGTAAAAATATTTACTGTAATATTACAATAATAATTATTGTAGTTTACTAACAAAGTATAGTTTATAAATCAAAAATATAATCAATTAAAAACTGAAAATAAATCATTTTTCGCAAATATAACCGATTTTGTGATATATAAACTATTTATTATTAGTACTATAAGAAAAAAACAAAATTTAATTTCCCGATTTATATTCCGATTTTTTCATTTTTTACTCCCGATTTCCCGACCGGTTTTGGCCATTTTAACTTCCGAAAAACATAGCTATAGTTATAATTATGATAAAACATAATATTATTAAAACTCGTTACTATTACTACATTAATTAATACTTACTCTAATTATTGGACTGAGATTTTTATATGAAACTAAAATTTAGATATTTTAAAAACTATGTGACATAACTACGGTTCGGTTTCTGGAATTTTGATCCAAACGGTTTCGGTTCGGTTCCTAAAATATGCTCCGATCCCGAACTCTATTGTAAACCATTGACCTCTAACTTAGAGCGCATGTATAATATGACACAATGTTTGTCAATAAAAGTTATAATTATTTAATACATTAATGTATTTATTTGATAACATTTTTCAAATTATTTGATTGCAATATAATTGTAAATTAATATTTATATATAAATCAAATAAATATAATTTGTATTATATTTTTGTTTTGTTTATCGATTTAATCTATAATATCATGAAATTTATTGTTTAAAACCAAAAATAAAATTTTGCTGACAATGGATGCGATGACAAGTGATGTCCCAGTTTTGGACAAACAATTGATTGTTATTTGATATCATTTATTATTTTCAAATATATTTATAATTTATTTATATATTATTTATACAAATGTTTTACTTTATATTAATATATTATTTGATTAATTTGAATCAAATTGTTTTGTCGACACAATTATCAATAAAAGTACACAAATTGAGTCCAAACGATGTGATTGATGTCCAAAATAGCGGTCAAACAAATAAAATAGACATTTATTGCAGTTGTGGTCAAAACCGTTCATTTACTCACTTCTTGATGAGTTCACACTTAAAATGGATTGAAAGACCTCAAGATGTGATTGTATTGACAGCTAACCACTTCGTGGTCTTTAATGAGACAGCAATTGTGGACCACTTTTACCGAAAGTGGACGCAAATGAGTCGATTCTTTGATACTAAAAGTGTCACAAATATAACGATTCCGTCGTTTAGATTGTATTGTATAGCAATCTCTTCCTCGGAGTCATACAAATGGCATTTTGTGGTCAATGGTTGTAATACTTAATTAAATTATATTTCATATCAATTATTAATTGAGATTTTTTTGCTGGTATTGTATTAGTTGTCGATATGTTACGGGTGTCCACACTATTGATTGGATTTATTTTATTTACTTTTGGGCCAAATATAAGTCGGTCTGTAATTGAAATTATTTATAAATTATAGTTTAATTTAATTACATTATTATTATAAAAAAATATATTCAGATCTGTAATATTTTACTATACATCTTGCATATCACTGGGAATTTTTGCATCATTTTTATTAATATTTTTAATAATAGGTCGTTATTTACCGCGGGTATATATATATATATAATATAATTGTTTAAATTTATTTAAATATAAAATTATGATAATAGAAAATCTCTGCATTAATAATAATGTTGGGCTCATCAACACTAGTGTTTGCATTCAAGATATTATGGCAAACATTTGAACATTTTCTCATTGAAAACAGTTTTTATTTGATTATATATTTAATATTATCGGCACTAATAAGTTTTGCTTTGGCCTATCGATTTGGACCCATCACTAATCATAGGACACTTAATTTAATGCAATGGTTTTTACAGGTATTTTATTATACAATTTGATCCATACATTATAATAATTAATACATTGATTGATTGTATTTTATTGTTTCAGTTGATTGGTTTAATTTTTATGGTTATTAGTTGTGAGATATACGAGTACTCGATGTTATTCATATTATCAATAATATTAGTTAAAGTTTTACCATTTAAAGGATTATTTTATTTTAAAAGGTATTTTATTTATTAATTGCAATACTGTATTCATTTTAATAGATAATTTCTTATTTAATTTAATATCAACTAATATTAAGACGAAAAGTAAAAGTAAAGCTTTTGACTGAAGTCGAGTTTGAACTGCAAAGTGATGTCCAAACAAAACAATCTTTAGAAGAATTGAGAAAATATTGTCTCAGTTCTCAATGTAATGCTTGGCATATCATATGTCAACTAAAAGATCCGATTAGGTATGTAATGACTGAAAACATTTATTTTTACTTCAACTAAAAGATTAAATGTAACAGATTTGCCCGTTTTGTTGACGGAGATAACCATATTTCTGACGATGAAATCATTGCTTTTGAAAGCATACAATTAAAGTCTAAAACAATTGTTATTAATCATAACAATAATTTAAATAATTATTTTAATAATAATAATAATATTACGTCCAATGAAATTGGCGATGAAGATGAAGATAATGATATTTATCACGACTTAGAATAAAATATATTTGTTTTACAACAAAAAGTGAATTTATAATGATTTTTGAAATGATTATTCAAATGAAATGGTTATTTAAATTACAAATTATTGATAACCCATTTATTTTTACATAATTTTTTTTTATTAAAGCTTTAATTTTAATGCAATTTTTTCTAATATAATTTGTCTTTTAGTCGACACATTATAAAATAATATACCGGTATTAATATATTTATAATATATATCCTATTAGCTAATAATAACATAATAAAACTAGAGTTTTTCTGACGTTGTTTGCAATGGTAGTGATTGTGGTGGAGTTGTCTTTGGAACCGTTGAATTGGATGACATAAATGTCGGTAATTTAATGCCTTTTTTTGCTTCAAAGAAAGTATATGAGAGAACAATGTCGTTGACGTTTTCGAGTTTGGGATCGTCGGCATATTCGGGATCAATATAGAAAAAGACGGGCAAATCCACCACTTCGTGTGGATTGAGTCGTTGCTCTTCAAAACAGAAACACTGGATTTTGTTTAAATAAGTGCCGGCTTCGTAGGGTTGGACAGTGTATGTGGCGATACCTTAATAACGACAAATATTATGTAATTCAAAGCTTTAATGTCATTTACAAACCATCGACAGGTGTGTCCAATGGATTTTTGGCGGTAAAGAAAGCGAGTACAGTCTCTCCCGGAAAGCACTTGATCTCTGGTTGTGTTGGTTTGAAGTTCCAGACCATAGCACTGGTAGTTTCAGCGCTAAACGTCACCCGAATAAGTCGATCCTCTTTAGCAGACATATTGGCAATCTTTTCATTTTTCTTGTCATCGATGAAAGCCTTTCCTCCCTTTCCAGTGGTTTGACAATAGATCCGATAGAGTGGTACCGATGCATAAGTGCCGCCCAATACCATACATACAAATGCTGTCGAATATAATAATATATTTTTATTACGGGAACGGGATGTCAGACGCCGTATATCATGAAATGTACGTGAATTGAGTGTCACGTAAGCGACACGTGTTGACCACATATTGTGGACAAACAATCGGCAAAAACTATAATTCATTGCTATTTTATTAATACATATTTGTTGTCAACAAATACAGTACTAAACGCATGCGTTATGCCATTCATGTGTTATATTGTGTAATAAAGTCATTGATTTTTAGTAAACAATTGTTGATTACTTAAAGTTGTAGTATTTAATTAAAAATTTGAATAATAATTATATTTCAAAATATGTATCACTATATTGTCTCATATTTTATAACTTAATAAAATTTAAATTTCTGAATAAGTCATATAAGACACTCGTCAAGTGTGGCGATAAAACTTTTTTAGTTGAGGTAATCAACAAAATTTTAAATATTCAAACTTAATATATCATATGTAATGTACAAATTTATGGGTTATTCAACTATCAATATAATTTAATTTAAAAAATGACCATAATCAATTGTATTGCAACATATCCTAAATATTATCAAATTAGTCAATAATTGTCGTACAATATAAATAATGTAAATAAAATTGGCTTTTAGTAAATTACTCAATTTAAAATCATTTTGTGCAAAGTTGTAATAATTAGTTAATTATTTTTAAATTACGGTAATAGACAATATGTTAACTGAAAATACCAAAAATTAGTTCATATTTTTTTTATATTTACCGGTAAAATATTTTTTTTATAAATACCGTAATAATCGAACAATAAAAACTGGGATTTTATAAATCAAAATATTATGAAATAATCAAAAATTTCAATATTTAAAAATTATTAGCATTTTTTATCTACAATAATACAATAAGATTAATAATATAAATGACAATTGATTAATCTTTATCTTTTTAAAAACAATTGTTTGCTAATAGTCCTAAATATTAGGCCAAATAGTTGTAAGTATCCTTCTGGCCGTCGGCTCTCTCCAAATATTCCTTTTCGATGAGAATGTCAATACATTTCTATTATATAATATTTATTAATTAGTACTTTAAATAAGCATTAAATTTCAAACCTTAATGACGGGAACACTTGGTTTAAATCGCGAAGAAAGTTGATTAAAGACTTCTGCTAACAACTGCTGGTGTTTCAACTTCTTTCTCATTTTCATTATGCGAACGATGGCCGCCTGTGTTGTCATTAAAATAATATTCACTGTATAGTAATGAGGAGATAATGGGTTAATAATATAATAGATACCTGAATGACAAGTTTGCGGTCTTCTTCAATGTGTTTGTGAGTCTTTTCTTGTTCCAGTTTGAGATCCGCTTTCATCGGTACATTGATATTAACCCTTAATTTCTTGTTCTTGTATTGAGTGAACAATGAGATAACAGTGCTTGGATTCAGTGTAGAAGAGTCATCTTCATTGACATTTGGGTCTTCGCATTGCAAAAGTTTGGCTTTAAGAAGAATTTGAATCACTTGAACCAATGTTTCCATCTTGATTTGTGTGCTCTCAAATAACTGCTGGACAGAGAACTGGTCCGCATTGTTGTACTGAAGCAGAACAGCCATTTGAAAAGTCGATGCCTTAATTAAATATAATTATATAATTAAAATCTATAAATGGTATTTAAAAAATTTCATCAATTACTTGAAGAGTGTATTTGTTTTTGAAGCAATTAGTAGTGATTTCTCCTTTAGACATGTGGTACAGCCAATGCAATTTGCGTCCACTGTGTTGTCCACTATAGAAATGAGTGAATCTTTGGACACTGCGCTCCAACTGTTCAAGAAAATACATGTTTCACATAATGACACATAAATTGTTGTCATTTAAACTAACCTCTTGTGGTAACGCAAATGTAAACGACTGTTGGAAAGGCCACGAACCAGAACTTAACACTTGAATACTGAAGTCCACTATAATTGCAAATATTATTTGTAAACATTTTTAATAAAATATAAAATATTTATAAAACTAATTACAATCGAGACGTTCACTTAAGTTGAGAGCAGTCAGATGTGTCTTAAACTGTTCGTTGAGATCTTTGCTGACACCAATGTCTTGAAACATTCGCTGCAATTTTGATGTATATTCAAAACCACACGCAGACTATTTGATAAATTTGATAAACAATTAGCGCTAAATTAAAAATCTCAATATAATTAAAATATATAATATAATACTTTAAGCTTAGAAATCATGGACGCCTCTGCATCATCACTTGCAGACATGTGTCCAACTAGTCTTTTGGCTAACATTTTACTATAAAACTTCTGAAAGACATCTTTATCTTCAATGTATTTAAAAGCAATCATCTGTTTGATGTAAATATCATTAATATTAATGGTGTAATCATCAGTGGTGTTGACAATAACTTACCACTTGATTAAGAGTTTCTTCCAATTCGGTTTCTTCTGGAATTTTTGCCGTCTTCTTCAGCAGTAAATCACAGTATTTTGCCAGAAGTTCTGGTGATTTGCTCGACGATTTGGCCATTTGGGTGATGGCGTTGTTGTTTATGAATTTACCGCACGCCTTAACAAATATATTTATATATTAATATAAAATATATTTTTATTTTGAAATCATTACTCTATCGAGTGATGCCATAAATCCGGGATCATCTTTGAAAGCGTCGGATACTAAAGCTTTATATTTGCTATAGACGTCCAAAGTTGTGTTGACATATAGCTTAGGGTCATTGAGTCCGGCCTCACCCAACTTACTGATGGCATCGAGTCCTTTGCTACAAATATGTAACTCAAGTCGATTGCGAAGTTCAGTCAATCCATTGGGTATTTTCTGGACCAATTCAAACATACGGCCTAAATCTGATTAACAAATATATAAAAATATTTTAATTATTAAAAAAAATAATCAAATTTTAATAAATCATACCTTCATTTTTATCGTCATTTAAAAGGCTTTGAAACTCATTGTGAAATATATCTAAATGTTCTTCAATGAGTACTTTCTCACAAGTTCTGGCCAAAGACGTCAAAGTGGTTTCGTGTAAATAAAGTTGAACTCTTCTATTCTCTTCTAATAATCTTTGTTCTGCTTTCTTCATGTATTCTGTTACTGGATTTTTCTCAAGAAAAAGACTGCTTTCAGTCTTGTAAAACCTATCCGTGTCGTCTAAAAACTTCACTTCAAAATTATTATGATATACTGTTAAGTTGGGTCCTCTGGCCTGAGGATCATCTTCATTGAGACCCAATTCAACTAAAAAATTAAATACAACGATTTAATACAACCAATAAAAATCTTATGATAACAATGACATACCATAACAGTTCATAACACCGCTTACAAGTCGTGTATTAATTGTTTCACCACTTCTTTCTTTTTCAATAAGCTTAAGAACAGCGTTAGTGACGGGCTCTTTGAGTGTTTCAAACAAACAGTTTCTCCACGAAACCAAAGCCAACTAAACAAATATAATTAGTTAATAATTGATTCAAAATAACAATTAACTGAATACCTGATAGATTTCATATATTCCTCGTCTGCCTTCATCGCACTCTCTCTTAACCCAATGTCTATTCAGATAAGAACAGATGCCGTTCAACACTTTACTCGAGAACTGATATTCTTCCCATTGTTTTGTGTAAAATCGTAGAACTTCTTCATCCATAAGATCTGTTCCGTTCTGTAATTAATTCAGATTTTATTAAATGTATACAATTTAGTGGAATTGAATGAACCAAACCTGCAATAAATCTTTCAAATATTTTTCAAGAAAATCTTTGAGTCTTTTATAGAGTTCAAAGCCGACGAACTGAGCGCCGCCCTGAGTGATACCCTTCTTGTTTCGGGAAGCATTTGGAGTCAAATTGGGATTCAGACTTTGCAATACATTCCCAGACATATTTGGGGGACGGGATGTCGTTTGATGTACTGAAGTGCAATAGTTATAGACATGTCTGCAAACAAACAAACAAACAAACAAATTGATTCAATTGTATTGATATCAAGTGATCCATACGTATATAACTCCATATATCGATTCTTCGACATATTCACGCCATTGTTGGTGTAGACCTGTTCAATGCCAGTCTGAAGATCGACCCAAATGTGGTCTAAATCTGTGTTTCGTAGACTCGATGCCTGCGGACTGTTCTGCAACCGCTGTGAAGGACTCACACCGTTTGGCTGCGATGTCGGAGAAGACATAATTGACGCACTATTTGGTGTCCAAAGTGGGATCAAATCAATTGTTTGCAATTAATTATTAATAGTTTTGATTCAATCAATTAAATTAATAGTTGTAACGATTTATCAAAATATGTAATAAATGTTTGAATCAATCACTAGTCTCGAGACTAACGATTGATTTGACAATTGTTTTGCTTATTGTTTACACTTGTCTTTTGATGACTTCTTTCACTAAGAAAGACAAACCTGTCATCAAATGTCTTGTAAAGCAGTCATCAGTGGTTTGTCTATCAAAATGGCGTTAATCTATGCAATCATTCACTTAATTGTATTCAACACTTGTATGCAAATCATTATAATTACACAAACATTTAATCAATTATTAGTCTAATAGTGGACGCAATCAATGCTATCAATCAATGCATTCAATTAAATGCATTGTTTTGAGCACTCATTCAATGATTGACTTTATTTCATGAATCGTCATAAAGGGAGACAACAACACAACACACACACAAATACAACACTAGAGGGCTCTCACACAACATATACCGTATTATTAAACATTTGACATACAGTTGTCTGCTATCGACACTACAGTCTAACCCAATAATAAACAATACTTTTCATATTTATGTTAATTTATAATAACTGTATGATTACTACAATATAAAATTTAGTATAATTAGTAAAAATTGTAAAATAAATTCATTAAATATTATTTAAAATTGTTTTTATATTTTCATATATATTGTATTTAATTAATTTAATGCACATTTAATGTATATTAAATTAATTATTTTAAATATATTTACTATTAATATTTACATAAAAGTATAATATCTATAAAATAAATAAATGCAATACTTAAACATTGGGTAATAATATTATGATTCATATAAAATTAAATAATTATTAGGGTTGAAAAAATACAAGGTTTTCAATTTTGGTTTTGTAAAATATTAAACTAATTTTATTAAAAAGTTAATTAAATTAAATTAATTTTATTTTCATTTTATAATACTATAATATCTCTTCATTTGTTGTGAAAATTTTAAAAACATTCGACAAACCATTTCCTGTGGTTTTTAATCGAAATCACTTCGACTGTCATTTTGATATCTTTAGGAATTTTGATTTTTTCGACATTAAAGAAGTGTTGTATTAATCAAAACAAATAGCATTTTAACAAAGCAATAGTTTGTGAATATAATAATTGATAAACCGTTTGAATCTATTCTACAAATCCATTCTACAAATCCATTCTACAAATCCATTCTACAAATCCATTCTACAAATCCATTCTACAAATCCATTCTACAAATCCATTCTACAAATCCATTCTACAAATCCATTCTACAAATCCATTCTACAAATCCATTCTACAAATCCATTCTACAAATCCATTCTACAAATCCATTCTACAAATCCATTCTACAAATCCATTCTACAAATCCATTCTACAAATCCATTCTACAAATCCATTCTACAAATCCATTCTACAAATCCATTCTACAAATCCATTCTACAAATCCATTCTACAAATCCATTCTACAAATCCATTCTACAAATCCATTCTACAAATCCATTCTACAAATCCATTCTACAAATCCATTCTACAAATCCATTCTACAAATCCATTCTACAAATCCATTCTACAAATCCATTCTACAAATCCATTCTACAAATCCATTCAAATTTACTAACAAAAAAAGTTGTGACATATTTGCACTCAATTAGCTTATTGTGTTATAACAAGATTATATAATAGTTAAATTGATGACTTGATATTTTTTGTTAAATGAGGTAAAGAGTATTTTAATGGTTAACATATCAATGAACAATATCTCTCGAATATATTTTAATTAAAACTTCGAATTTATTTTATCTAATTTTATATATTAATTTCATTTAAACATTTTATTGCTGTTTCGGTCTTTGTTTCCCACATTAATACCTTTTGTTTTAAATTTTTTTTAACTTAAGACGATATGCTCTTTTAGTGACAGCTTCGAGATAAGTATAATTAAAATTTATTGCGGTATAAAGTTTTATCAATAAAAATTATATTAACAATTATAAAATATTTATTTTTTTTATTAAAATTATTATTATTACATAATTTCAAAATCTTTATTAGAATCGTTGTTTTATTAAGCTATTAAAAATTAATATTAATTATTTTATTAATATATTTCAATATCAGAATTAAATTGAATATCTAATTTCAAATTTTTTCAAAATAAAAAAATAATTATTATTACAAAACATGTGTTTGTTTGTGAATCTTAGTATTTTTGTTACTAAGTGGCGCTAAAAAATTGTTGTAATCCAAAATTATGATGTAATTTACATTGTATTATACTGTATAATAGGCTTTGTATTATACATACACTTTGTCTCTGCTAACACTGATAATTATATTATATTGACATACAGTACAGTAAAGTAATAAATTAAATATTTATTATTAAAGTTTTAATGTTATCGTAAGTACAGTAAAATTCATTAAAAACTATACCTTTTTTTGTTATTGCTATACGTATTATACAATAATTAGAAATTATTTACTAATGAATATCATATGTTATCTTTAAATTTAGTTTTATATCTTTACATTTTTAGAGTAATAAACTTTTTAAAAAATAATACAAAATAAAATTCTTATGAAGTTTTTAATAATCAATTAAAAATTCTAAAATAGCATTACCAGACAAAATCCTTGACAACATTTTCAATTTTGTTTAAAAACATATTTTCAATATATTTTTGTATTTTATATGAATTTATATATAATTTCATTCCTCGTATTAATAAAGTTATCGCTTATTATTAGGAATTTATTTTCTTGCGTCACATCTATTGAATCCTAAACATCAAATGTTCTCATAATGTTTGAAAAACAAATATTATATTAAATAGCATTTTCAGTGGTATTCAGTAATAAATGTATGCATATATATATATATATGCATACATTTATTACTGAATACCACTGAAAATGCTATTTAATATAATATTTGTTTAATACTATATAAATGCTATATAGTATATACAGTATTATATACAGTATATAGTGTAGTCATGTAGAGATAGTTTTGGCAATTAATACACACAACGCATATTAATATTATAGTTGACATTAATTAACATTAGTTAACATTAATTGTATAAAAATCAGATCATTTGATTCAAATGCACTAATTATTATACTCTATAACTCTATTTGTTTTTAAAGTTATCATGATAGATTTTTGAATTTAACTTTTTATGTAGTGTATAGTAATGTTAATCAAATACATTACTCATTCAAAAATAAACTTTTATTAATAAAATTATTTTTTACCCCTTTATAATATTTAGTTAATAGTTTGTATAGTAATAGTTTATACTATAACTTATAGTCTATAAGATTTGTGTATAAAAATTACTTCTATATGACGACACCATATAAATACTTAAATTTAATAATTTATAAAAAGTATCACTAAATTTATTATTAAATATTTCTTTGAAATCTTATGCAAATTATTTAAGTTTTGGTACTATTTATTGTAAAACTACAATAAAATATATTTCCCTCCCTTTGGAAAGTTGCCCGAACTCTAATGTCATATAATATATAGTAAGCCTTACGATATTAAAGTCAATATACTGTAGTATTTGTTAGTTAAAAACCAGTGAAAATGCTATAAAGCATTGCCAGAAACAAACTTTGATAGCATAAAATTTTATGGTCTCACATTAATATATATATAATTACAATATAAACTTTAGTCAAGTGATTAAGTAAAACAAAAACTCAACTATAGTCATCTAAGGTTTCAAATGATTCAGTATAACAAAAAAAATTAGTAGTCATACTATTGATGCCATTTTTTGATAAATATAAAAAATAATGATGATTTATTATCTTATTTTTGATTCTCTATACAATTCTAAATGTTAAAATTTTTACCAATTTACTTTGGTCGCCATTCTCTATATGTTCCCGAAGAGATATCAAAATTTTAATACTGATCCCCTATAACTTATTATTCATGTTATAACCAAATCTGAAATCAAAATTTTAAAATTCGCATTATGAAATCAACAGACACACACATACAGACACACATTTATAGATTTCAGTAAAACTAAGTTTTTCTAAAAAAGTTTGTTTGAAAATATGACTTCAATCTTGTGATGGCAATCAATGACTTACTGTAATATTACTGATTATAATCTTTAAATAATACACAAACAGGTCGTTAAGCTTTTTGAAGTTTTTATGAAAACTTTCACTTAATATTTCATCAAAAAGTTATGTAAAACACAACTCATTGAGATTTATGGCTAAAAATATACACAAATTGTATAAAATAAATAAATAAATGGCTTTATTTCAAATGGCTTTACATTGAAAATGAGGTCAATAGTACTTATAAGTTATGATACAAAGAGTCAATTAAAATAAAATATATTGTATTATTCATATGATTTGACAAGTTTTATGATATGTTATGAATTTTTTCAATTTATATATTTTTTGTTTAGTGATATTTTTAATATTTGCTAAGCAATATACTATTGATATTTACATAGATTATTGTATGTGTTGTAAAATTTAAGTTTTCATGAATATTTTACTTTTATGATTATATATACTTTTATGATATACCTAAGTTAATAAGTTTACAGATATTATTTAAAATACAATTATCAAATAACATACTAACAGGTCCTCTACTGTATAATAGTCTAATACAATGATATGTAAAATTTTTAAATATAATTAGTAAATAAAATATGAAAAGTTTTGCTAAATTGGTTAAAACTATGGCATAATTAAAATCTATTTTTTCCTAATATGGCTATCAATCCATACTTTATAAGCTGATGTTTTCATGTAAACTCCGGGCAAATTAGGTTCAGCACATCTGATACCATGAGAAACAGTACCGACGAGAGCCCATCGACCATCAGATTGTGGTAACATAAGAGGTCCTCCGGAATCCCCTTCACACGAATCTTTACCACCACTGAGATAACCGGCGCATAGAAATGTGTCGCGAATAGCCTTTATATGTCCCGAATCTAAAAACATTTGCTGACAATCACTGTTTGCTAATATCGGAAGTTTGACCACTTGAAGGATACTCGGAATAGATCCACCTTTTGATAATTGAAATAAAAAGTTAATTATATAAAATACTGTAAGTTTTGGGCAAATATCTAACCATAACTTAATTTGCCCCAACCGGCAACAAAGGCAACTTTGCCCACATAGTCATCATCACTGGCATCGGGTAAACATATGGGCACCACATGGGGTTGCACTTCAAAAGGACTTTCCAACTCTAAGAGTGCGATATCATTCTCAAAGGTATTTGGGTTGTAGTCTCTGTGAACAATCATCCGTTTGACTCGTTTGGCCACTGGTTTCAAGCTCTCAATATCACCGGTTAAGTCATATTCTCCGAGAACAACAACGAGTGTACCTAAAAATCTATTTCTTCTATTAAGACATCACACAATTGATGTTTTTTTATATATATATATAATGTTAATTACTTACCCGGGTTGACAATGAGCTGCGGTTAATACCTATTATTAAATTTGAATTAAATATTAATTTCAATTAATAGTAAGATAACATGTATAATACTGTATATACAATATTTACCCATTTATAATCAATGAGTACTCCACCACATTTGGTTTTAACAAACAGTCCCAACCAAGTGGCCTCTTTGACTAATACAACCCATGGCCATTCACCGAAATGTGCATTCCTCCCGCCCACTACCCGACCACCCATCGGACGCAAAGGCCTTACACCACATTCTACACAAAATTTAAATTATAAGTCAAATATAATAAAATAATAATTATTTAATTTATTGGTTTTAATAAGCTTACACTTTATGCTATTAGTTGGTGGACTCAATAATCGTTTGGGAAATTTTCATGTTTTATGAGTTATGAGTGCTTATATTTATGTTAATTTATAGTACAGGTATGATATTAAAATATATATTAAAATAATTTAAAATATTAGCAATTATAGTGACTATATACGGTATATAACTTAAGGTAATAACTGTAATCATTACAAGCAAATAAAAATTTATTTAAAATTTTAAATTATTATTAATAAATATAAATATGAAAATGTTTTAAAATATAACATTTGTTTTATAACATTAATTCAATTAAACACAATTTATAAATAAATAATAAATAATATTTACATATCCTAATCACCAAAATTTGGCATTTATATAAACATAGAAATATTTGATATAATCTAAAAAGCAATTATTTGATTTATCCATTTGGAAAATGCAGATATTCTAGTATAAACTCCTGAAAAATAAATATATATAAAAATTTAGATTTGGATAAAATATAAAACATATGAAAATGACTAACCCGGCTGATTAGGCAAAGCACACCCTATTCCCCAACTTATGATACCAACTAAATTCCATCTGTCATTATCTTCTAAAACTAACGGTCCGCCACTGTCTCCCTATTTGTGATTATAATATTATAATACAATTGCTTAGCAAAAATTAATTATATAACATATCATCACATTATATAATAGTGCCATTATATGTGAAGTCATTATATTAAATGAAAAAAACAACAATAGATGTAATAATTGCTTACTTCACACGAGTCTTTAGCCCCTTTGGCCAGACCGGCACAGATAAATATATTGGGAATATCTTCAATATAACCGGCCCTTCTATACATGCCTTCACACTCTTTATTAGTAATTATAGGCACTTCCACGTGTTGTATAACATCAGGTAGTGGTCCATCTATGATTAATGTGACAATTTTTACAATCAATGGATTCTGTGTAGACAGAGTATGTGTAATATGACATACCCTCATATAGTCGCCCCCAACCCGTGACAGTAGCCCATTGGTTAACATAAGTAGTATTATTATCGGGAATACAAACTGGTATAATATTTCGCTGAAAGTGAATCGGTTCGTAAAAGCGAAGCAAAGCTAAGTCGTACTCAAAGGTTCGGGGATCAAACTGCGGGTGAGGGGCTATGATCTGCACCCGACGCTCCACATAGGGATATGGCTCTCTCTCATGACTCACATCATACTCTCCCAATCTCAACAATAAGTCAGTCGGCGACACACTTCATATGGAAAATAGAGATACAGAAGAATATAAATACAAAGGAAAGGCAGAGTGCAATCAATTGGTGCCATACTTTTCAACGCAATGGGCAGCTGTTATCACCCAATACTCATTAAGAAGAGCTGCGCCACACTTATGCAAAAAGGAGTTTTTCTTCCACTGACGCAATGATACCTAAAAGTCGGATATTATGTGACGGTATGTCTGTGTTAATATGTATATATGGATCAACTCATAACATGTACACTACCATCCATGGCCATTCCCCAAACGATGACTGAGTGCCACCAACTATACGTCCTTTAGGAGCTACTTGTCTTTTACCGCAAACTGTTTTTTAATTACCATTTAATTGTTTTTGAATTTCTCACATTTACTAATACTAATAAATAATTATTTTAATAAATGATATCAAGTATACCTGCTTTAGATGTGATCACCGGCTTTGCTGTTGTTTTCGTTATATTTTGAGGCAAACTTGTTGTCCACCGCTTCGTTGATAACGGTGTTGTTGTTACCGATGAACTCGTTGTAGTTGTTGTTGAATTAATTTTTAACAAATTTTCAGAATTTTTTGTTAATGTTGTGCTAACTATTGGTAAATTAGTTGTTGTCTTCGGAGTACTTGTAGTGGTTGATGGAGTTGTTATAGTTGTAGTGGTTGAAGGAGTTGTAGTACTTGTAGTGGTTGAAGGAGTTGTAGTACTTGTAGTGGTTGAAGGAGTTGTTGTACTTGTAGTGGTTGAAGGAGTTGTTGTACTTGTAGTGGTTGAAGGAGTTGTAGTACTTGAACTGGCACTTATGATTTTAACGGTGGTTGTCGGTGGTCTGGTAGTAGTAGTACTAGTAGTTGTTGTTGTAATAGTAGTTAATGGTGCGGATGTTGTCGTGGTTGAAGTTGAAGTAATGATTGGTTTATTAGTTGTTGTTGTTATAGAATTATTAATAGAAAACTTGTTGAATGTATTGATAGTTTCGGAAAGCGTATCATTTGTTGCTTGCGTTGCATTAGCAATGAGAGTGGTGTCGGAATAAATAGTTGGACTTAATGTGACTAATGTCGGTGATGTCGGTATTGATGGTGATGTCGGTATTGATGGTGATGTCGGTATTGATGGTGATGTCGGTATTGATGGTGATGTCGGTATTGATGGAGATGTTGGTATTGATACTATCTTTTGAGTTGTTATTAATGGGATCTCTTTAAACGAATCATTTGTTTCAGGTGTTAATGTTGTTGACGATGTCATTGTTGTGGATGAAAAAGTAGATGAAGTAATGGATGTATTAGAAGAAATAGAGCTAATATTAGTAATGAATGTCTCAATGATTGTTGAGGTTGTCGTAGGATATTGTGTTGAAAGTGGCAAAAGAGTGATATTATTTAACTCATTAAAAGAATTATTTTTAATTATAGATTGTAAAGTAATGACTGACTCAGTGATGGGTGGATTAGTTGTCTGTAAAGTTGTAATAGTTGTAGGAATAGAAGTAATAATTGATTCATTTATTGATAAATTTGTGGTCAGAGTGCCGGTAGTTGTTGTCAACGGAGTTGTATAGTAATCGGTAGTTATTTTGCTATTGTTTGTAATAATTGGTTCAGTATTTGTCATGTTTTTTGTATTGTTAGTTAAGTCGATATGAGTTGTTTGCGGTGGTGTTGTTGTGGTTGAAGTAGTAGTTAGTAATGTAGTGACTGTTGACGCAAGTATTGGTTTTCGACTAAACGTTGGTTTTCCATAAATTATAGATTCTGGGGATTCTGTTGGCATAAGTGTTGATTGTTGTGACTGTGATTGTGTAGACATTTGTTGTGTAATATTTTGTGGCAATTTACAGCAACTGCCTACAAGCCAACTGTTCACACAATAACCGACTGATTTGCCACCAGATTGGAGGCATTCATACTGAAACATACAAACACCAGTGCTGTCCGATAAATCATTTTGGTTTCTACACGGTATGGCTTTTATGGCTTTATATTTATATCGAGATATATCTATTTTGAAATATATTTCACAATAAAATAACTTTATTTAATTAATTGTTATATGTTTTATTAAAACACAATAATAATTTTAAATAGAAAAAAGATTTGGTAATAAAAAAGTAAGACTTAATAAAATATTTAAAGCTATGTTATGTACAGTTAGGTTCTCAGAGATACCCCGCAGGCAATGCGGAAGACAACAGTAACTGTGCCCTCAGGTGCTGTCCTCATAAGGAAGAAGCAGTTTATTTGAAGAAATCTTATGTAAAAAATAAGTGCATCTAATGAATGAAATCAAAACTTATATCATAAAACAAATGATAAAAATCTAAACAATATTTAATATTAAGCAATATTAAAGCAAATTACTTAATAACATGTGCTTTAATTTGTTTTTTAATAAACTAATAATAAGAATAATGACATTGAAAATGAATGTCAAGATTTCCGATATTATTATTATTATTAATAATAATAACTAACAAAAGGTCGTTGACTTGTTTGCCTTCAATACCCCTCTCTCTCTCTCTCTCTCTCTCTCTCTCTCTCTCTCTCTCTCTCTCAGGACATTTCAGATAGCCTGAGGTCATAAAAAGTTAATACTTTTTTGCATTACATTATAATAATAAAAAATTGTCTAAAAAAGGGTAAAAAACCCACTGACCACTCAACAGACAATATATAGGAAATCAAATCTTGAATTATACGTCTATTACAGATACAAGTGTTATGTGTTGAATAAGTTCAGTTCAAAGTCAATATTGAAAGTTTGTCTTAAAAGGTAAACGACCTGACAATCAAATTTAATTACAACAACACTTTTGGATAAGAATTAACTTTTAATAGATATTTTTTCATAATTATTAATACTTTTGTTATATTAATTTAATATTTAAATATATAATATAATAAATAAGAATTACTCTTTATTGTTAATAAATTAATTTGATATTTATTCAATATAAATCAATAAAATATAATAAAGTTTTGAATTGTAAATTTAATATAAATCTTACCTGATAATATTCCTGATTTGTTATCTGACTGTCCACTCACAATAATGTCACTTAATATTAATACAGTTATCAAAAAACATGAACTTATTGAAGTCATTGTAACTATTTTTATAAAATTACATTTATATCACATTTGATTCATTTGTTTAATTATATTATTAGAAAAATATTATTTTCACAAAATTAAGATTTATAAACAAGATTTGAAAATTGAAATCAGTTTGAAAGCAATATCTGAATGGAAGACAACTTGAAAGCACTGCACCTCATAGTTGTCGTCTAAAGCAATGTTTGGGCAAAAAGTTGTACTACAAGTCATTTATACTAAGTTTATATATAGAGAATCTTTTGAAGTAACTATTTATAAACAACTTTAATATATAAATATTATATTTACAAGTTTTCTTATTAAGTTTACTTAAGTTCTTAGATAATTAATTTTTTTGTAAATCCTATTAATATTATTAATTAAGTCAATAATATTTTTAATAAAATTAAAGAAATACTGTTGATTTAAATTATAAAATAAAGTATAATATGTCTAATTTCATACATCACATTTACTATGAAAAACTAGAACTTAAGCTATTTTTTAGTAATAAAATATAGTTTTTTGGATTTTAGAACAAATTATCCATAAGTAAATTTTTAGCTAATATTTATGAATTACTAAAAAATAATTTTTTATATAATATAAAAATAACGCCGTATACATTAAGCAGCCTAATATAAACGGTGTTATTTTTATTTTGCATTAGGATTTAAAATAGAAATCTTTTTTTCTAATTAAAATATTAAAACTTAAATTTTTGTACTAATATTAATATAATTTTAAAAACTTAATTATTTTTATTATATAGTTGAATATGGTTTAAATTTCTATAATATTATATTAATCAATAATTTATTAGTGATTTATTTATGAAAATTATACATATAAGTTATTATATTTTTTAATATTTAAACTTAAATATCACAAATATTTATTTATTTTATACATTTTTAAATAATTATGTTTATTTAGATCATTTTTTAAAATAATAATTTACATATAATGGTGATTTCACATATTGTAAATGAGTGAAATTTTTAATAAAATTATATCTATAAATTGTATAAAAACAATGCTATTTTTAATATTTATAATTATACAAAAAAATAAAGATTATCTTAAATCAGTTGCAATTAAATAACTTTTGTTGAATCAATTGGCACTCAAAAACGTTTAAGACTTTATAAATCTATTACTTAACTGCTTTAAATTAGTTAGACTTTACTGTATAACCATTTTTTATTAACAGTATATTTGCTTAATTGATATTTTAAGTTTTTAATCTTTTCAAAACTAATTATATTAAAATATTTTAGTCAAATGATTCATAATTTTAAAAAGTATATTAAAATTTATATTTATTAAGTATTGATTAACAAACTATAATAAAACTAAAAGGATTATTTATTTATTTAAATAACAATAATAATTTTTTTAATGTATTTGTTTATATAACATTTATATATTCATTAAGTCTAATACTAAAATAATGTTTTTAAAATATATATACAAAGTAATAATTTATTAATTAATTAATTTTTATGTTGATATCACTGATTAATATAATTTAAAATCCATTGTCTAAACCTTGAAATTCGAGTGCAAACTCCTGGAAGTGATGGTTCTCCGCAACCGATTCCTATGAAATAATTGATTTATAAAAATTAGTAATGTTTTTATTAAAGATTATAATATATATTATGATAAACCCCATGATATAATTCCAGCCAAAAACCATTTTCCATCCTCTCCTTGAACTTGTAGTGGACCCCCACTGTCCCCTTGACATGAGTCTCGTCCGCCCTCATCATAACCGGCGCACATAAATATTTCGGGAATATATTCATGTCTTCCGGCCGTTAGGAACATATTCTTGCATTTGTCATTACTAACAATCGGAACTTTGACTTCTTGAAGCACTGTTGGCAAAACTCCACCTAATAGTCAATTACATAACTTTATCTGTTATTTACGGCTGATTTTTATCTAAATAATAATTATTTTGCTTAAATGTCATTAAAAAACTTGTTTTTATTTGACATTTTATTAAATGTTTGTCCACCAAATGGACACTTTCAGAGGTCATGAACACAATTCACGCTTAATTTAATGTCTTTTTAAAAAACGAAAATATATTTTTCAAGATCATTGACTTAGAAAATTGAAACAAAATATTTTTAATTATATTATATCTTATCTATATTTTTAAAATTTTGTTTTTTTATTGATAAAAATCAATAGTTGAAATAATACACTGTATTTATCAATATTGTAATAGATAAATTTCCTATTTTTCAAATTATTGAGAAAATTTCTATCGTGCATTATTTATTAAAAATTGCATTAAAACTATTATCTAATAGTATAAATTGTATCTAATATATAATTTAATGAATAAAATTTTAATTATAAAAAATAATTAATTAAAATTAAATTGCTTTTATATATTATATAATGTTTTTCTGTAATATTTTATAAACAATTTTTTCTTCTTATTTTTTAATATTCTTGTTTTACACAATTTAATAAAATAATTACCTATAAGTGTTCAGTTATATGATATAACTTATATCTTTATCATTATCTATATTTATATTATTATATACGGATATATATAATAAAATTAGAATTACAATAATAATTTATAATGCACGATTTAATTAAATTTGTAATAATTGTATATTTTTATGGCTTTTATATATTAGCTGATTTTTAAATTTTATTTATATATTTAACTATTGTTATGTTGAAAATATGAAAAGTAAAGTACATAACCAAATATAAAGACAATGAGATAAAGATTAATCAATCAAAATTTTTGGATTGATTTTTATGTAATAATTTTATGTTTCTTTTATATTGTATGTAATCTAATGTTTCAGTAATTATTTTTAAATACTATATTTAATATGTTTATCAGCATTATAATTTTATTAATTTTATAATTTTTAAAAAATTATAGTAATTAATTTATTATTAAAAATAAAAACACATTAACTAAGTTTTAGTTACTTTTATAAAGTATATTCATTAAAAAATAATATAATTAAAACATAGAATTATTATAAATTATTAATATCTAAATCCTATTTTATTGAAAAAAGAACAATAGTTTACTTATATTGTAAACATAAAATGAATTAATTTTTTTATAATTAGAAATAAATGTTAAATAGATCATACAGTAGTCCAGTCAACCATTCATTAAATTGTATTACAAAAATACTTAACTTTTGTATCATATTTTAGTATAATAAAGAAATAAATAATTATTATAAATTAAAATATTTTTAAGGCAAAAAATGTGTTATTAAAAAATTCATTTAATTGTAATTTTATTTACAACTCTTATTTGCGATTGAACATCAATTTAGCTAAAGATTAGTAATTCAATTATTATTTTTATTTCAACTTATGTTTTAAACATAAAATTATAGCTACAAATAGGGTTAACATAAAAGTTAGTCATATGATTTCTTTAATAATTAAGTAACAAAATAAGCAAAAATTATTGTTTTATATACCGGTACTTTATATATTAATATTTTATAGATATTTTCATCAATAAAATTATATATGATAATTTGTACTGTACTTATAAAAAAGTAATTATATATATACAGTATATAATTAACAATTAACATACCATTTACCGGTATGTATAAATACATTATATATGTTTGTATTAATATAATGTAAATACCGTATTATAAATATTATAGATATATAAAATTAAAATTTGTTTATCCAGACTGAAGACTCAAATGGTTTTAATAATTAGACTTTTGATAATAAAATGATTATAAAAATATTGAACAATAGTTGTGCTTACCTTCACTAAGTCGTCCCCAACCGGTGACGGTTGCATTTTTGCCCAATAGGTCTACATTATCAGGTGGTAAACATATGGGTGCTACATGAGGTTGGAAGTCAATGGGTTCATCTAACTGTACCAGAGCTAAATCATTTTCATAAGTAAAAAAGTTGTAGTGCGGGTGAACCACCTTTTTCTTGGCGCCCCTCTCTATGTGTGGATAGGGCTCTAAAGTACTGGAGAAGTCGTATTCACCAACTCTGACCCGTATTTGGGTTAACAACAAACTATAAAAAATTATGTTTATTTTTATTAGTAATTATAATTTATAGGACTTTACAATAAACACAATGACATACTCATCGACACAATGACCCGCCGTAGCGATCCATTGATTGTTAAGTATAGCTCCGCCACATCTATGAGTACTAGAAAAGCCAAAAAATGATGTCCTTCTAACAGACACCTAATTAAAAATTAAATAATGAGTTTGAAAGTTGAATTTTGCTTGTTTTTGATAGATTAGGTGTTACCTGCCAGGGCCAGGCACCAAACGCTGAGTTCTTGCCACCAACCACTTTGGTTTGAGGCATCAATTGAGGAACACCACATTGAACTGTAATTTACAAATGTTTGACTAATTATCTCAAGAAATCGATATCATATTAATTGCTTGAAGACATACCTTTACTTGAAAGGAAAGGCCTTTTAGTATATGTTTGTGAAACTATATGAGATGTTTCGTAACCTAAAGTGGTTGATGTGGCAGTTGTATTGGTCGTCGCAAATGAAGTTGTCGTCGGTTTTGGTGTTGTTGTGGTTGTGGTTGTGGTCGTTGTAGACATTGTTGTCAACGGTTGAGCTGTTGTTTGCATTATAGTTATATTAAGTGGTGTTGAAGTAGTACTCCGAGTATTATATATTTGCTGATAAATATTAGTCGGTCTGACAGCAATAGGCGGCTTAAATGTTGGTCTCAAATAAATATTATTAGGACTGGAAGGGGGTCTATATGTTGAAAAAATTGAAAAAATTGGTGGTCTAAATGTATGCAACACATTTGAAGGGGTATTAGATTGTATTGGCCAAACTTGAGCTATAAATTTATATAATTATTTGAGATTAAAAATGAAAAAAAAATGAAAACATAAAAAGCTTTAAAGCAATAATCTTACAATGTATAGGACTAGGCGCTGTAGGCCATGGTTTTGCTATAGATGTCGGAACCAATGTTTGCGAGCTTTCATTATTTGAAACAACATTACTATTTGTAAATTCTGTTGTATTATAACTAACTAATGGTTTTGAAGGTTTGACATATGGTTTAATTGGTTTTGTAGGCTTTATGGTTGTGGTTGTTGTTGTTGTTGTTGGCGATCGTGTAGTTGTGATACTGGCTATTAAGGTGGACACTGTTGGTCTACTTGACCAGCTTTGGCCAGTCATTATCACTGAACTAGGAGTAGAAAACTCCTCATAATTATTTGGAAAGTATGTGTTGTGTTGATTAGTGGTTGAGATATGAGTTGATTGAGAAGTGTGTTGTGAATTGTGGACAACAGTCTGGTCTATGGCATTAAAAGTGTCATTATGTCCACAACAACTGCCAAATAGGAAGCCATCGACACAAGTGCCCAGATGTTTGCCTTCAGTTTTGATACACTCCCACACAAACATACAGGTGCCCTCTTCTCCCAATGCATTGTTGCATACTTTTGGTCGAATCTTAAGGGAAATTCCTGTTTGACAAATGTATGTAAAACTCATGAGATGTGACATTTGACACAATATTTACAACTTTATACAATTGTCGCAAAAAGTTGAAACAATAGTAACAATTACCTGATTGTAAGCACCAAAACAAGTGGACTATAAGATAGAGCGCTGAACGCCAATATTGGCGTTTGTCTCTTAATCGCATTACGAAAAACACAATAATAATAATAATATTTTTAGATTTTTTAAAGATTTTCCCATTTCATTAGAAATTGACTTTTCAAGCAAAATACAAGAATAACATAACGTATGGATGGATGAGCTGATCTGTTAGCGGATGACCGACTTTAGCTCTCCCTTATGGAGTCCCCTCTCTTCGATCCGGTTATAAAGTTATTCCCATTCTCTGCTAAAACATTATTAAATATTACAAACTATTTTTATATGGATACCAATGAAACTCTAATTATTTGAAAATCTTATTTATATTAAAGCATTTTATCTAAAAATCCAAATTATATGACTAGAAGAGTAAATAATTATAATTTTATATAAAAAATATATCATATAATGCTTGTAATGTGTATTTAATAATAAAAATTAAAATACTTTACACGTTTCCATCAGTTTTTGCGCGAATCTCCAATTAGACGGCAAATAAAAATTAGTTATTATAACTGCCGGTACTTTGTGTGTCGTCCCAATTACTAGCAATTTATTTAAATTCCCAGCAATTTATCAAAGTTGCACTCTATTATAAATTAATCAATTTTTGAGACTAATATTTTTCTCTTAATAGCATTTAAGCAAACACTTAATAAAATTTTAACACAAATAAAACATATAAAAATCATATTTTAAAAAATACAATTTAAAAATCGTGAAACATTGGATTACAGCACTACCACTCCGGGAGTCATAATAATCTGATTTAAAATGTTGTGATGTCAGACATAGAGAAGCATTTGTTTGTTGAGAGCTGTTATGCCGAACCTGACCTGATTTAGTGTAGATATTCTCCGCCTAAGTGACGACACGACCTACAAAACAGCTACAGGAGCACCAGTTCAGGTGCTAATTGTCATTACTGTTCAATCATATGACTATATGCTATATACCATTACTTTTGCTTTGATCACCTCATGACAAGTCTTCCTTCAAATATATTGTCATCTTTTACGGTCTAATTATTAACATTTGAAAAATAGATTTTAATTAATAATACATTTTTATAATAATACAATGAATTCAATGTAATTCTCAATATATAATATTTTTTTATTTAAAAAAATCTTTTTTATTAATCTTAAATTCTATTTCTACATAATAAAGTATATAATTAGTGTATAGTGTTTTAAATTTTTAAGTAGATAATTAGGTAAATAAGATTTATTAAAATTTTTAATATATATTACATTTTTAATAAACACTAAAATTATATTAATATATTTAAATGATAGTTTACACAATAAAACATAAAAATAAAACTAAAGTATAAAATAATGTAGAAAAAAAACTAAAATATAACTTTATAAAAATTTCTCACTCACATAATTTAAATATATTTGACAAAAAACAAAAAAAATAATTATCACAAAATAAAATAAATCTTAATACGATATGTTTTTTATGTTTTCAAACTCAAAAATTGTTTTAAAAACATTTTAGCTCATAAAATAAAAGTATTATACTGTACAGAAAAATAAGTATACGTTATTTTTACAACCATAATTAAGATTATAAACTCATAATTATTTCTTTTTAAAAATAATATAGATTTTTAATATTTTCATTAAAAATCGTATTTAATAATAGCTGAACTCTAAAATTTATATGATTTTAGTGACTATATTATACATATTTTATCATATTTATCTATGCAAAAATAAAAATCAAATCATAAATTTTTAGGATATTATATAATAAAATATAATTATTATTTGAAGATTAATTTGTTTGGTTCCCAATAAATGCAACGATTAATAATTATGACATTAATAACTAAGAGCTGACCTCAAAACTATTACTTATAAATCCAAAACATAGGATGTGATCATCACATGAAAGACACGCTTTTATTTGCAAACAATAATAACTTATATCTAATAATATAAATTAATTCAATTTATTTATAATACTCGTTAGATTACTACACTATATTTTTATTGGTAAACATCAGAATTGTAAAAATAAATTTATTTATAATAATAAAAATTAAATTTTGCTTAGTATTGATATAAGTTATCAGTTGAAACCAGTGTTGACAGTGACAAGATGTGTACAGTATAATACAATGTATAATGCAATGTATAATACAATGTATAATACAATGTATAATACAATGTATAATACAATGTATAATACAATGTATAATACAATGTATAATACATGACAATTTTACTATACAAAACAAAATTTAACGCCACCTAGTATAAATAACATTATATAAGCAAAACTAAATATGATTTATAATAGTTTATATATGATATTATTTATTTATTTTATTTATATTTTATTATCTTTATTTATTTATTTATTTTTATTCAACAATTATTAAAAAACAATTATAAAAATAAAGAATTTTCTAACAATTATATCAATATTTTCAATAATTTTAATTATATTTAATAATTATATATTATATACAATATACAATATACAATATTTATAATTAATAAATTAAATTTAATTTGTATACATTTAAAAAAACATTGTTATAATCATATAAATATAAAATCAGATTTTCAATATTCTATGTCATTAGAAAAGTTATAGTATTTAAAAAAATTGCATTTTATTCTAACTTATGGGACATTCCTAATCCTAATGCGTTGAACTACTTTTTTAAATATAATATATATTAGTTTTTATAAATGTATAATATATGCAATACATTGTATTATAATTTATAATGTATTATACAAATATAAAATTCAAAACCTTGTATTTTACAACCCTTTCTCAAACTTATGTCTTTAAGCGGACAGATATTTGTTACATTTGTATTTGTATGATGTATTTGATACAAGTGCCGCACATTTAGGGCTTATATTTAATACAATTGTTATAAAATAATAGTTTTTGTCTGCATTTTTGTTTATGTTTGGGATTTTTTAGAGATTAAATATCATGTAATATGAACTTACAGTACAATATTACATTATATTTAATGTTAATATAAATAACTGATTTTATATTTACAATTAAATTGCAATATAAAAAATTAATATAAATTAGTTTAAAATAAACTATGCATTTATAAATAATATTGCAGGAAACATAATAATGTAATAATTAGTTCATAAAAATATTTAATATAAACTTGAGAATATTCAATAAAATATTTATTTATTTTTTTTACAAATACATGCATTTTTGTTGAAATCTTATTTATATTTTATTTTTCACAACAATTAAAGTACTATAAATTATCATGGTAATATTTCAAATTAATATTATCAGAATTAAGTTCTCTATAATATAGCTTAAAATGAGCTTAAAATAGTTATTGGCTTAAATAATCTTAAAATTAATTATCGGCGAGTATTTATAAAATAATTTCTCACAATTATATATTTTCAACTATTGTAATATTTTTACTGTTTGTTAAAATACTAAAACTATAAGCATTATACGTGTAGTCAATATTTTTACAAATTTTTGTCCAATTAATGCATTATATTTAAATAAAATGTAAATTATTTAATTAAATATTTTTATGCACTAGTAAAATATAAACATGTATTATCATTGAACATAAACGGCATAGTAATAATTTAATTTTATTTTTTATGATGTATTAAAATAAAAACATTATTTTATAAAATTTTTACAAATATATTAAACAATACTGTAGTTATTTACAAAGTTTTGGCATATGATTTGCAAATAGCAGTTAATTATATAAATTTTGTATTAATAGTCAGTTACAATGTATTGCTTTCAATCCAATCCATATATTGCGTCACTCTATATACAAAATAAATATTAAAAAATGAATTATTACTCTAATTAATCTATAAATAATACAAAATGTAAACCTCGTATAAACTCCTGGATACCCGGGTTGTGCGCAACGATTTCCAAAACTCACTTTATTCATAACATTAGAAAAATATAATTAATATTTATTTTTTAAAAATTAATTAAAAAAATTATATACCAATGCCATATATTGTCCATTTTCTATTTTGGTCGGCAATCATTAAAGGACTTCCACTGTCACCCTAATTATCAAATAAATTAACGTAAATATAGAGGTATACATTTTGTTGTCATATATAAGCTGTAAGTTAACTAAATGAATAAATACCTGACAGGCATCTTTGCCACCCTCAACATAACCGGCACACAAAAAATTTTGATTAATTGGCTGAAAATATCTGTTATCACAATCAGTGTTTTGCCAAATAGGAATAGACACTTGTTGCAGTATACCACTACCCGGACCTCCATATTGTATAGTTCCCCAACCAATTACCTATTAAATTAGTAATTTATTGGAATTTTTGTATAAATATTAATTATTAATAAATAAAAATCAATAAATAAAAAAAAATTTTTATAACATAAGCATTAATATAAAATTAAAAAAATACAAACCGTTGCCATATATCCAACCAAATCTTTGATTTTTTCTTTGATGTTTGGCAAACAAATGGGATGAATATCAGTTGAATATATGACTTTATCTTTGAGTTTAATCAAACCGATATCATTAAAAAATCCATGTCTTTGAAACTTTGAGTGTTGTTTAACTTCGAGTGCTTTATATTCAATTGGTTTTGAGAAGTCGTCGTCTCTGTAAAGATGATGTTCCCCAAGCCTTACAGTTATTTGGCTACTTTGATACCTAAATATACAAAATAAATATAATTATAAGTAATCTATAATAAATAAATAAAATATAAATAATAAAAATATCTCACTTATTTCCCTTATGATCTGACAAACAATGTGCTGCCGTCAAGATCTGTTAAACATAACTTTTAATGTTTATTGTTTAACTAATATTTAATTAAAAATAATTACATAATTATGATCAATGAGAGCACCGCCACACCAAAACTCCCTTCCTTTAGGACTGTCAAGAAAAATGGCTGCCTATGGATATACTTATTTAGTTAAACTAAAAATTAATATTTTAATGTAATTATAAATATTACAATCCATGGCCATTGACCGGGTCTGGCATCCTGTCCGCCAACTATACGCCCATCACGTCCTGATTCACCGCAATCTAATTAAATTTAAAGTTTTTAAAAATACAATTAACTATTGTATTATTAAATAAAAATCAATTACTGAGTTTTGAGATCAAATTAGTTGAGCTTTCAATTGAAGATAAATTGTTATATTCAATGAGCGATGGTTTTAAAGGACGAATAGTAGTTAACGGATATTTTTGAGAGGAATGGGATCCCCAATGAGGTCTTGAATAAGTTGGCCGTATTGTTGTTGTAGTTGTTGTTGTCGTTGATGAGATAATAATTGGTTTCTTCGTTGATTGAAATAAAGACGAAGTATTAAGTGTTGATAATGAAGAGCTTAAAGAGGGTGAAAAAGTTGGTGTTGTCGATGATATACTCGATAAAGTAGTGGAAGATATTGTCGATGATATTGTATTTGATACCTTAAATGTATGATTTAATTATATTTATATATTTATATTAAAATTAATTATATAGTGATATCACTTACAGCTGAGGTGGGAATAGAGTTGTGATTTTGTGTTATCGGACAACAAACTCCCGGTAATACCAGATTTCGAAAGCAAACCGATTGTCGTAGTAATGATAAATCAAATATAAGATAAATACATCTTCTAATGTCAGAGCATTGTCCCGGTATACCCAACGGTGTCCGACAATAATTTAAGTTATTTACGGCTGCAATATTTGAAACTATATTTCCTACTGAACTCATATTTAATTTGTTTGACGTAAACCCTATGTTAAATATAATATAAACGTGCAGGTGCTCAATTGATTGATATTGTGATATTTGTGCAATAAAATAATGATATTGTTATAACAAAAATCAATATTAATGCAAAAAGTAAATATTAAAATATTCAGAATAGTTTATATTTATAGTAACAGTTTTAAATAATAGTATAAAATTAAAAAATATCAAACAAATTAATTGACTAAAATTAAATACTTACATCCTCTTTTATTTGTAAGATTATTTTTATGAAATGCTTCAATTAAAACAATCAATAATATAATCCATAACAGTTTGAATATTATCAATTTATACCATATCTTCATAATATTATATTAAATTTTGATATTTGAATATTCTTGAAATAAATTAATTTAATTAAAGATTTTTTTAATGAAAGTATATTTTCAAAGAAAAAGTTTGTTGAAAAATGTTAGTTAACTTTTTTGATGAATAATTTCACTGATTTATTAGCAATACTAATGCATTTACTAAAATTAAAAGTTTTATAACAAATTAAGTCAACACAAGTTAACATATTTTTAGCTAAAGTTGAGAGCAATTGCAGGACTTGTAATAAAAATTAGAAGTAAAATATTAAATGGTTTTTACATAAGAAAACACTATTTTTTGCGGTAGCACTGTCTCAATGACCTGATTATGGATATTGTTTTCAATAGTTTTTGTAAGCACCGACCTACAAAAAGTTTAATACTGGGGTTCACCTTATGATGATTGTCATTGATAGTGCAATACATGTATTTTGGATTTTCTTATATGATTTCTTACCAGATTTACCACTCCTTATACTATTAACAATCATTGATGAATAAAATATATAACCAAACAAAACAACATTTGTCTTCATATGAATTATTTGATATTTAAATAATATTCTTTATTTTAATGTAAAAAGTATCAGAAAATAATTGAAATAAATTTTTATATTGTGTGAAAAATAATAATATAATTTATTGACCTAAGGATACAGTTATAAGTATTTGAATACTTAGACATTGTTATCAATTGTATGAATAAAGTCTTAAATGAATAATATATATGTAAAGGCATCGCATCGGTAGCGATCTAATGAATATATTGGCCCAAAGTTAGCTAACAGTGCATTACATCAAGCATTACAACATCAATGAGAGATCGTCTCATAAAATGTCTGTTCATTCAGCACTTGTATTCGGTCTGATTCACTAAAAGTTTTTATTCAAATTATACAAATAATAATATCGTATTTTTGTAAAGTATATCCTATTAAAAAACATTTAGGATTTCCCAAAAACAACACACCATTTAGTGGAAACAAAGTTTGTATTGCATTGCATCGTACTATTGCTTATGTAAAATGCAATCAAATTGCTATCTTAAAAGAAAACTTGTTTTGTTTTTATGTTAGATAAGTGAACGCTTTCTTATAAAAAATATATTTTACTTTAAATAGTAACAAATGTTTTACAACATAAGTTTATGAATTGGTAAATAATCAAAAAATTAATTAATTTTTGTTAACTCAAATAACCAATATAAAAATAAATTAAATTTATATAAAATTTTAATTTAATATAATAAATTAAGGGACGTAAACCATTAATGTATGATTTTTTTTATGAAAATTTGCCCTTTGATTAACCATCAATTTAATATTAAGTTATCATAATATAAATATATGCATATTTTGATAAATATAATGTAAAATAAAATTAGTGAATGATTCTTTGGTGTCATTATATAATAATAATAAATACATGTATTGTAGTAACATAGAAATGGAGTTAATATAATACTGTAGATACAAAAAAAAATGTTATTTATAAATAAATTAATGACTAAAATATAAATTTTTCATTAATGATAATGACTATTGATTGTTGACACTAATTATTTGATTAATCCAACCAACAAATGCCGAAACCTTAACATAAACTCCAGGAACACCACTCCTACCGCATCCAAAACCTAAAAATAAAAACAAATTTATGCAAATTTTTTATAACAAAATAGTTAAAATTATTAATGATACCCCATGAAACGAGACCAGTTAGTTCATAATAGTTGTCAACTTCACATACGAGACCTGACCCTCCATCTCCCTGACAGGCATCGTTGCCCTCATCACCGCCCGCACAGAAACTACTGGCCGGTAATATAAATAATTTTTCGGTAACAGAATTGACTCTAACTGTACACTCCTGGTCGTCAACAATGGGCACTTCGGCTTCACGTATTCTCAATGCAATTGGACCGGCTTTTAATAAAAAAATTATACAATTTATATATATATATAATTTTATTTTATATAATTATAAGTTATTATAACTTTCATCAAAACACATACTTTCATCTTTATATCCATAACCAGTTACAGTACATCTCTTTCCAGGTTTTCGTTTGGAGCCCCGGGCGGGCAAACAAACCAAACATACATTTTCATTAAATTCAACCGGAGATTCAAGTTTTAGTAACGCTATGTCTAATATAAAAACAGTAAAATATAAATCATTTTAATATTTTTTATATAAATATTTTATAATTTCAAATTATTGACTATACCATTATCCAATGTCTGTCCGTTATGATTGTGATGTATATAAGTAGTGCTGACTTTTTGAGTTTGTGCTCCTCTACTGCCCACTTGACTGGTTAGGTCATGATCTCCAACTCTAACATAGATAGTCTCACCATTTCTCACTAAACTTTATTTATATATAATACATCAATTTAATTAAGTAATAATAATCATATTAAATATAAAAATTAATTACTTAGTAATACAATGAGCAGCACTGAGTACCCATTGAGCAGATATTAATGTACCGCCGCATAGGTATTGATTTTGTGAATTAATTAAAGCGGTCTATAATAATAATATAATGTGTTAAAATATTTTGTTATTAATTATTATTAATTAATTATATGGTAAAAATATTGGCCATACCTGCCAACACCACTCTCCCGGATATGAATCACTTCCGCCAACAACTCGAGGGGTTTCTTTCCGTTGTGTGCCTTTGATGCCACACATATAAGGATTAGGTCGTCGAGGAGGTGGAGCTGTAATTTATTAAAACAAATTTAATAAAATTGATTTTTAAAAATCTACAAATGTTATCACGTTTTATAGGAGAGTCGTCATAATTAGTGGTTTTATTTTGATTATTGCTGGTCATCCAAACACCATTATTTGCCAATACATTTGCTTCAAATGTTTGGATATCAGTCATTGCTGCACAACATATTTGTCCCGTTTTTGAACATTGAAATTTGGGATAAATTGCATTTCCACCAAAACATGTAAATCTATATTCAGATGATTATATATAATTAATAATTAAATGATATACTGTTAATTATTTTTTTATTTATTTTTACTTAAACATAGGTGCAATACAAGGACCGGGACAAAAAGGTGGTCCCCCAACCAATATTGATTTACTATCAGACGAACTATTGTCTACCGCTTGTATTTCAGGCTCTGGTATCGGTGAAGATGGAGAAAGTGAAGTAATAATAGGTATTTCGTTTTTAGGACCCAAATGTTGCATATGTTGTATGTTTGTGGGCAAAGGATTAATATGAGGTATCATTGAACCTGAATGTGTGATTGGATGTTGTGGGGGTGATATATGACCTAATGGTGGTCTTAAATGAGATGGTGGTGATTGTGGTACAATAGATTGTGACTCTTGACCATAAAAAGGAGGTAAAATATTTTCGGGAACTGATGAAAATAATAAAGGATTAAAATTTTGAGGAATATTTTGATTAGTATTTGATGAGTGAATTGGAATATTAGGTTTCTCTCCATAATCTTCTTCGGGATTCACAACTGTTTTGTCGTCAGTTTCATATGAATTATAACAACATATTGTACCAGAATTACAGTCAAGTGTCTTAAGTATTAGTTCCGATGGTCTGTTGCACATTCCGCTCAATATAGTTGGCATACATTTACCGGGACACGGCTTTATAGGAGGTGCTTCAGTTGTCGGCTCTTTGTTTATGCAACAACTGCCACCATTTGGACAGTAAAGACTATAATCTGTTTCATCACAAAGAAGACTGAAGAGAGGGGCCACACACGTGCCCTCACATAATGGCATCGGTGTTGTTGTTGTTGTAGATGTAGAAGAAGTAGAAGAAGTGATAGCAATACTATCTTTACTACTATTTGTTGCTTCAATGACTTCATCTATTTTTATAATGTTTTTTGTGTTATTTAAGACATCACTTTGTTGTACAAGTGTTACAACATTTGATGAATTATCAAAATCAACTTCCGATTGAAGACAGCACTGATGATCTTCATCGGGACACTTGCCGTTACTTAATATATTTCCACAAAAACGAATATAACGTGTTTTGATGCAAACCCCGGGACATAACTGATCCATTGTGTTGACAGAGCTTTGACTTGACTGTGATTCCGCCACAATATCACCAAATTGGCCACTAATGGGAAGTGGTTTTGTAGTCGTTGTTGTGGTTGTTGTAGTACTTGTTGTAATAGTTGGAGACAAAACCGAAAGATTATGTTTATTAACATTAATAGATCCAAAAACTAAAGGTGGTATAAAAGGCTTAGGACTGTAAACTTTAATTACTAATGGATGTGAAGTTATTGCTTGAGATTCAGTTGGCTTAGGAGTAGTGGTTGTCGTAGTAGTTGTTGTCAACGGTGTTGTCTGTGGTTTAATTTGTTCTGTTTGTGAACTGATAGCAACATTACTATTGTCACCAATTGGTGCAGAAGTTTCAACGGGTGTACCAAATGAGAACTCGTGAGGAACACAACACCGCAAGAAGTTTGCGCCACACGTGACCTCTTCGAGAACATTATCACAGAATATGGAAGTGATTGCGTGGACACACTCTCCCGGACAGGCGGGCGCTTTGCCCACTGATGTCAAACTACTCCATAGATCTTATTGTTTGAAAAATTATGTCAATTAATAAAACTTACTTTTAATTTATAATTTAATAAAATAATATATAAAAACTGGTGCATAAAATAATTGTTTTATTTATTTTGTGTATTTAATATGTTTTATCCAGTATTTCAATTGTTATTTAACAGTGAAATACAATTGTATTAATTATTATAATAAAGATTAATAAATAGGTTTTTATGTTAATTGAATGTTAAAGTTTGAGTATCAATAACATAAACAGAGGTCATTGACTTAATTGTCATTCATTAACCTCTAAAATAATATTTGATAAAAAAATAAAATAAATAATTTTATAAAAAAAAGTTATCTAACGTTAAATCAAACTGACCATTGAGGAAATATTGACAAAATAGGAAATTAAAACTTTAAACTATTAGAGATTACTATCTTTTAGATTATGAGTGCTATGTATTGAATAAGTTCAATGTCAACATTGAAAGTTAACTACAAAAGGTAAATGACCTGACAATAAGTTTTAATTGCTTTCAAAAATTTTAAATAAAATTTACACTTTTAAACAAACTTGTATTATAGCATATTTTTAATCATATAATGTTTATGTAAATAATTATCAATATTTATAGCATAATTAATTTATATTGCATATATTAATTTTATTTAATAAAGTTAAATAAAATTTTTTAAAATAATAAATTCATAGAAAATGTTACCTGATAATATTCCTGTTTCGTTAGTATCTGACTGTCCATTCACTATAATAGCACTTAATGACACAGTTATTATTAAATATAAATTTATGTAAATCATTGTCACTTATCAAATATTACATTTGTGTGCTTATATTATTGAAAAATATTTTTTACCAAAAAAATTAAGATTTATAAACAAGATTTGAAAATTGAAATCAGTTTGAAAGCAATGTCTGAATGGAAGACAACTTGAAAGCACTGCACCTCATAGTTGTCGTCTAAAGCAATGTTTGGGCAAAAAGTTGTACTACAAGTCATTCAAATGTCTTATATTAGAAAGTCATATGATTTGCTATTATAGCGAAATCTCTACTTTTTTACCAAAAAGTTTTTAAATCTTTATTTGAAGTAAATTTATGAATTAAATCAAAATAATAAATAAATAAATTTTAAATAAAGTTTGTTTACATTTAATTGGCATTTTCATATTTTGATAAAATAAACCGTTATGTATATCGACATTATGTAATGAAAAAATAAATATATAAAGATTTCAACAATTTATTTTTATATGCTTAATCTAAATCAAACATACATTTTTACAAATCTTAATCCAATAATAAATAATGCTTATAATTATTATAGATATAATATAAAGTATATATATATATATATATATATAAACAAATTAACATATATTTATAAGTGCATTTTAAGTATTATAAGTTTAATTATAACAGGCGCTATAAAATTTTTTAATTATAAACGATAGTTAATTAAATTTAATTAATAATCAAATAAGATTTTATGTTAAGGCTTTGTCAAGATTTGCAATTTATGTTTTCAAAAGTATCAATTAAATAGTTTGGTAATAATTAATCTACAATTATTTCTACTGTAATTGATATCATTAATAAAATCATATTCTTGTATATCTATTATATCACTATATGTAAGTCAGACTAATATGAATGGTTGTCCTCAGAATTATAAAATATTTAACATCAAAATAAAGTAAATAATATTATTACTCAAAATTAATTTATGTGTTGTACTGTAGTTTTAATCAATTTTTACGATATATAGTCTATATTATAGACCGCTTACTAAAATATAAATATTAACATAAAATTGCTTAGCATTTAGACTTAATTAATTGACAATTTCTGTATTAAGCATATTTAATTTAACTTGAAATTTAAATTACTTAATTTATTAATGTTATAAAAGTTTTTTTTAACTATTTCTACTATCTATAAATAATATATGATATAATTTAAATATATAAACTAATTATTTATTTTATTTTATTTTTATATCTATATTTATATATGTCAATTATAATTTATAAATTATTAAATTGCATAATAATTAAATTTTTAATATGACAAGTATTACAGTTTAATCAATAATTATCTAAAACTTAAGTACAGAATAATAATCTAAATTTAATTAACTGTACTCTATATGTAATGATTAGTGCATCAAAATATATTTAATTAAATATAATACATATTTTGGTGATAAATACCGTAAATAAGATATATTTAATTAAATATTTTAACTTAAAACTATAAAAAATAGATTATAAAGTACTAAATACCTTAGACTCTAAGGCTTAGAGTTTTTGCTTAAAGTTATAGTTTTTAACGAACAGTAAATATACAAATAACTCTATGATATAAAAATTAGCAAAAATCTTAGTCAAAACAGTATTAGTTGTGTTAAACATGTGAATGCAATCAATGATTAAAAATTATATTATTCAGTTGTATTAGTTATTAAGTTTGAAAATAAAATTAAGTGTATTTTTACCTTTTCTTAATAAAAATGTGATATCAATTTGTAATACTGTAATTTAAATGGAGATTAAAATAAATTACATATTGATTAAATATATATATATATTTACTAATAAATGACTATTTAAAATAAATAAATAAATATTTAAGTAAATATTTTGGTAGTTTTTATTAAATATTTTATTGAATATTTTCAATTTTTAAATAAATATTTTTTGATGCTCTAGTAATGATATAATCAATGGTAACGCTATGAGTGAATGGCATAATGTATTGCATAACACAACGTGACTATTGCCTGACCAGTGATGGCAACAAATAGTGTAAACAGTTCTGCCATTTACTCAACGATACATACATTGATTGACTGATTGTTAATAACATTGTTTTAATTGATTGTTTGCATTGATATAGCAATGGTTTGACTCCATTATAATGTTATACTATTAATATCATTGATTGTATCAAATCTAATGCTATAATTCAATGATAACAGTAAACACTGTTTGCTATTAAATGACCGATATTTACATTATTTCATTACTATCTCAATGTTTGACTAAATTAGTGTCAATTAATAATTAATATCATATATTATATTAATTTTAATATATATGATAACATATATATATTATTTAAAGAGTTTATATTATATTTATGTATTATATGTTATTATTTGAAATAACAAAATAGTTGATTATATTTTGAATTGAAGAGTTTAAGTGATGCCAAAGTGATCGACAATAAGATGGATGGCATTGAGTCCAACGGTGTCCGTATGTTAACCATTGAGTGGGAAATGATGGATAAGAGTCGCTTCTTCGGGTTGTCGGCCATCAACTCTTTGGGTCTCAGAGTTGTCTTATATCCACTGACTGTAATCAAAACTCGACTTCAAGTATGTGTACTCTTCATGACTTCTCATGAATTGTCACTTTATTGACACTTTGTTTAACACTTTGTTTAACACTTTGTTTGATAATCTTCAGGTACAAAGACATGGAGTAGTTTACAAAGGTATGAAAGAGATGGGATAATAATTATTGAAGAAATAGACTTTTTATTATTATTATATTGTATATCATTTTATGCCATTTTAGGCACTTTTGATGCCTTCAGGAATATCATCAAAAATGAAGGATTTTCCGGTCTATATAAAGGTTTGCAATGTTTTTGAATTAATTAAAATAAAACAATTATTTATTAAATTATTTTGTTAATAGGATTTTGGATAAATTCAGTACAAGTGGTTTCAGGCATCGGATATATCTTAACATATGAAAAGATTAGAGATATTTTGTCTAAAAATAATATACACGACAATCGTCTTAAAGGACTTATAGCCGGAGGTATTGTTATATAATTTTTATTTAAATAAATATTGTATATTATAAATACTATTTATTATTTAGTTTATTTTTTTAAATGTTAATTATTTTTGTTGTTGATTAGGTTGCGGGTCATTAGTCAGTCAAACTATAATATGTATGTATTAAATAAATAAAAATTTATTTAGACATATAACCGATAATATAAATCAAATTAAAGGTCCATTCGATGTTATATCACAACATCTGATGCTTTTAGGAAGTGGTCATAAAAGCCAAATGTCTTCAAATGTCTCTAAACTCAACTTAGACCTCAAAGGGTACAAAGGTTTTGGTGCCGCCAAACAAGTTATTAAAGAACTTTATCGTATCGATGGTGGACTTAAAGTATTTAATAATAACAATAATTTTATCATTTAATGTCATTATCGTAATTATAAACTAAAATATAATTTACTATACGGTAGGCCTACTATAGAGGATACTTATCATCAGTACTGACATATGTTCCAAGTAGTGCTCTTTGGTGGATGTTTTATCCAATGTATTCGGGTTAGTTGATTGACATTAAATAATTTAAATGACAAATTTAATATTAATTGAATATTTTTAATTATAGGTTATTTATTTTCATTATCACCTGAAGACACGTCTCAAATGCTAATTCAATGTGTTTCTGGATCTATATCTGGAATAACAGTAGCAGGTATGGTATAGTTATATCAATTTACAATTATCATAATAATAATATATTATTAAAAATAATTAAAACTTTTGTAAATAGTTATAACAAATCCATTGGATGTGTTGAGAGCCAACATTCAAGTCCGACGCATCGGTTCCTTCATATTTGCTGTAAAGCAGATTTGGGCTGAAGAACAGTTCAATATATTCAGGAAAGGTTTGTCCGCTCGTATCACTCAAAGTTGTATTTCGTCGGCATTTATTGTCGCAGGTATTGTCATTACAACGTATTATATCATTGAAATAATTTTAATATTTGTTTATTTAATATAATTTTAGGCTACGAAACACTCAAACGGTATATTTATTATAAAATATTTTATATTTAAATAAAATTAACTTTTAATTAATGTTTAGTTTAAGCATTAATGAAGAGCACAGACATTCAATTAAATGGTAGGACTCACTGACTAATGCAACACTAGTCACAAGTTTTGACACATTTTGTGATAAAATACATTTTTGTAATATATTTATAGGTTTTTTAATTAATAAATACAAAATTGTTGGCTATATTTAGAAAACATTTTATTATCTTTAGATTAGTTTATTAATGTTGTCTTTATTATTATTATTATTATTATTAATTTAAAAATAATAAATAATTTAAAAACTTTTTGTATATTCAAAATGAAATTATAATACAATATAATACTGTATAAACATAAAAATGTTTATTACGATAAGTGTTTTTGACATAACGTACAGTAAGTTAAACTTAACGATTATTAATAAATTATTAATAACAAAATATACGGTATTCAACAACAAAAATCATATTAATATTTACAACAAAAAAAAGATTTTGCAAATGAGATAAAACTCATATGCAGTACAGTATATATTGCATATCATTTAAGTTCATTATTGGTTAATAATATACAAAACTGTAAACAATTTATTTTTATGTAAAAAGTTGTCATTAGTATTGAATAATATTTCACAAAATAAAGAAATCAAATATTGTCATTGATATGATATAAACAAATTAATACATTTTTATTATTTATTATTATAATTAAAAGTGTATTATCATATATCCTATATATTTTTAAATTCACAATTGTTTAACATTTGAGTTAATAGTTAATTAAGTTTATAATATGGATAATAGCAATGAAAATGATGAATGGGTTAACCATTACAACCAAATGATTGATATGGTATTGTATTGTATGGTATTATGAATATATCAATTATTATTAATAAATCAATTAATAATAATAATGTTTTATAAATTATAAATACAGTATAATAGTTGATAATTGAATCATTTGATATACAAAGTGTTTGAATATTAGGGTTAATTGAAATGTTTTACTATAACATGTAAATAATATCATAATTATAATGAATATGATATATGAAGATATCATAGAAATTGTAGTCAACTTTATAGATATGTAGATATTGTATGGGATATCGTGTTAATACATGTACTGTATATTACAATATGATAACAAAATTCATTAGTTAAATGAGTGTTTAAAAGCCTTAAATCATATATAAAGTAGACTTTCAGTTAGTTTTTTAATTGACTTTTAGTTAGTTTTTAATTGACTTTTAGTTATGTTTTGCGCCTTTAGTTATACCCTATACGAGTGATTCCCTCTTTAATGGCTTTAATGTTAACCAATTGAAGCACTGATTTGTCAGTCAAATGAGTGTTCCATTGGTTAACACAAAGCGTGTGATAAATGCATTGAAAGTGTTGTTATTCATTGAATGCATTGTTTGTTTTGATTTGAATTAACCATAATTTGTGTCATATATTAATCATTTAATTATAATCAAAAAGATGGCAAATATTGACACTAAAGATGTGACCAAAACAGACAAGACTGACAAATGGTAAGTATTGAGTCATTTATTTGTTTAAACAAATTAATTATTTATTTAACTGACAGTCCGAAAGACGAAGACATAGATCTGGCGGTCGAGGGATTGAAACACTTAAATCTCGGTAAACGACATCTACTCGTTGAAGATTATTCATCGGCAGTACAAGATTTACAAGAAGCCTGTCAACTATTGGACCAACGATATGGTATCGGAGCCGAAGAGTGCGGCGAAGCTTATCTTTATTATGGATCAGCTTTGTTAGAGTTGGCCAGACGTGAAGACGGACTTTTCGACGGAACCGTTCAAACTAAATGTACATTTATTTTGCCATTACTTTTGTGTTTATTTTGTGTTAATCTATTGATTAGTGGAAGAGATGTCTCCGTCAGAAGATGAACAAGAATCTGATGATGAAGAAGAAAATGAAGGACCAGATGAACCGGCAAAAGATGAGAATCAACAAAATGGTATTTATTATACTTTTTTTATAAAATAATTAACAGAGAGTTTGTCATTAGATAAGAAAACGGATACTGAAGAAGATATTGAAAATTCAGACGAAGAGAAGAGAAAGAAATTAAATGAAAAGCAAAATGACGTCTCAGTTGTAATGCAGTCGAGTGCCAGTGCGGACATGAGTGCAGATATTAGTGATATGTGTGTCGCCTCCACTTCTAAAGGTATTACCAGTGATGACAATGAATTAAATACAAAGAACGGCGATGAAACAGAAGACGAAGCGTCTAATATAGAGGTGGCGTTTGAAGTGTTGACTTTGGCTAAACATGTGTTCACCAGATTTATAGATAAAAATGATAATAAAATTAAATTAACAGAAGCTTTACAAGCGTTGGGAGAAATCAGTATTGAATGGGAAAATAATAGCAATGCTATTGAAATACTTAATGAATGTTTAACATTACGTAAGGAAGTCCTTTCAGAAGACGACAGAATGATAGCAGAAACGTATGTTTGAATGCATTATTTGGTTACTATTTGTTTGCAATGATGTTTGTGGTATATCTTATTAATACAGTTATTATCAATTGGGAATCGCTAACTCTTTTAATAATGATATTCAAAATGCCAACAATTGCTTCCAAAACGCTATTCAAGTCATTGAATCGCGTATTGAAAACCAAAAGAAGATATTATCTACGCTTAAGGAAGAAGACATCGATTCCGTCGAAAAGATTAAAAGGGAATTAAAACAATTGGAAAGTCTTTTGCCAGAAATGAAAGTGAAAATTGAAGATTCAAACGACCAAATGGTTACAGCAAAACAAGGACTTGAATTAGAAGAAAACGAACGCAAAGAAGAAGAAGCAATTGCTTTGAAAAATAAAGAGATTAAGGAAAAGCCAATCAATAATATCAGTCATCTCATTAAACGCAAGGTTTGTAACATTTTTTAAATATCAAAATAATTCAATTTAACCAAAATTATAATTTATGATAATTATGACTATTTTTTCTAATTTTATTTACAATTAATTAATAATTGAGTATTAAACTTACCGTACAATCAACTCAAACTTACTGTAAAATCATATTTAGCTTATCGTTATTTAAATATTTAACAAAAATAGATAAATGAAATATTAATGCAATTTTTAATTACTGTATTTTGCATTTAAAAATATATTAACATGATTTAAAATTTAATTATACAGTATTGACTGATATATATATTCACATAAAATGATTTTTTAAAATAAAGCGCCAAAATTCTGGATCAGACTCGACATCTAAAAAGATGTGTTCAAATGGTCATAACCGTGAAAATGAACAGACATCAGATGCAAATGGAACTGAAGGACCAATTAATTGAAGACTCAATTTGTTTATCAAATAAAAATTAATCAAATTTTTTACATATAATGTACTTAAATAAGCACTCATTGACGAATGCCTTTATTCTAGATTATTCATTGTATCAATTTTTTACTTATATTTCATTCATATGTTTATATTAAAACAATTTCATATTTTTTAAATAATAGCATTTAGATAGACTTGAAGTCATTTTTAATGTTTAAATATAAAGCCATCAAAATGTTGAATATTTTTGTTTAAATGTATGTAATATTTAATTGGTTTAGTCAAACATTTTATGGCACAATTTATACTAAACAAAATTTATTTATTAAACTTAAATACTTTATAATTAAATAAATATCTTTTTATTATTATTTTTCTGTATTATATATAAATATCGTCAATTCTTTTAGACTTATACTCTATGTTATAAAACAGTTAAAATAATTGTTATATTGACACAAATTTGATTATTTTTAAAAACAATAACAATAATGAAAATTAAATTAAATTTTCCTTTGAAAGTATTGTAATAATCAAATATTAGTTATAATAAGTTCACAAAACACAAAAAAATAAGAAAATCAAAAGTTTGTTTCATTGATTCATTTAATTTGTTTGTTTTGTTTGCCATTTATTGGTCAACAATAGAGATGTAATTTTCTAAATCTATTTCATTTGTCAATATATAACAGCAATTCTCTCAAAAGTAAATTATTAATTGGTCCCTACAACAGTACTACAGTATATAATTTGGAAATGTTTGTCATATTTATGCAAACAATTACTTTTAATGTGTCGGCGATTACTAATAATTTTAATTTATTAAATAAAACAGTTAAGAATACTAGAAAGCATTTTCAGAAAAAAAACTTGAATATCATTTAAAATCATTAGTTTGTATAATTATAGCGGCTATATAGTATAATACATATAATATTATAATGTCAAAATATACTCAACTTTAGTCATGTAGAGGATCAAATGATTCAGTATGACAAAATATACTTAACTATAGTTATGTGAGGTATCAAATGACTCAGTATGACAAAATATGCTTGACTATAGTTATGTGAGGTATCAAATTATTCAGTATGCCAAAATAAACTCAATTATAGTCATGTAGGGTATCAAATGACTCAGTATGGCAAAATAAACAACTATAGTGATATTTTTAAAATAATAGAATTAATTTTGATCATTATAAATTATTTTTCATGCTCTATACAATTCTAAACGTTAAAAATTACCTAATTTTTTAAATATTTTTGCAGCCATCTTTTGAAAAAATAAATAATAATGCTGATTTATTATATATTATTTTTGATACTCTATATAATTCTAAACGTTAAAATTTTCACCTAAATTTTTTACTTTGGCTGCCATTTTCTCTATGTTCCCAAAGAGATCAAAATTTTGATGCATATTTCTTATGCTTATTTTTGATGCTTTATTCAAATCTATACTTAAAAAAATTTAAGAAAATTTTCTTAAATTTTTTTACTTTGGTCGCCATTTTCTCTATATACCCGAAGAGATATCAAAATTTTAATGCAACTTTTCAATACATTATTAGTAGTCCTCTAACCGAATCTGAAGTCAGAATTTCAAAATTCGCAAAAAATATGCTAAACACAGACACAAACACAGACACACACAAAAAGCCATTATAGATTTCAGTAAACAAAACTTTTCAAGTTTTTTTTTGAAAATAAATAAATAAAATATACTTTTTATAATAAACTGTAAGCGCGTAATTAACGCGTAAACGTGTTTTGAGCTAATTATTGATATACATTTTATTACGTGGAGATCTAACTAGTTATTTTAAAAATAATAAAAACTAAATTAATATAACAAATATAACATTACAATTTTTAATATGATGAAAATTTTAAATAAAATATCAATATTTTTGACATGTTTTAGTGGTCTCTACAGTTAATGTTAGAAATTAAAGTATATATATATATAAGAATATATATATATTGTATACTATAAACTATTACTAGAATATATAAACTATTAACTAAATAGTATAAAAGGGACAAAAATAATTTTATTAATAAAAGTTTATTTTTGAATGAGTAATGTAAATGATTAACATTAGTATACACTACTTAAAAAATTAAATTCAAAAATCTATCATGATAACTTTAAAGACAACTAGAGATATATACAGTATCAGGGTTAAGCAAAGTTTTGGATTTGGGTAAAATTTACAAAATTCTCGAAAATCTGGGGGGGGGGGGGGTATTGGGTGGGGTAAGATTTTTATTGCATTTTTAAACGGCAATTTTTTCAAAAATCCAAAATCAAGGGGGGGGTCAAGAGAAAATTCCCTAAAAATTCCTTAAGTTCCCGAATATTCCCATGTTAATTCAATAAAATTCCCATAAGTTCCCGTATAAGTTCCCGGGAAAATAGGTAAAATTTCCAAAAATATGAAAAACTTAAAAATTAACAAAAACTTAAATTTTAACGAAAAATAAATATTTTTTAAAAAAATATTTTTAAAATTAATAAAAACTTAAATTTTAACAAAAAATAAAATAATGTATTTAAGATTATCAACTGTGATTATCATGATTAATGATACACTATGAGTTATTTTTAGTATTTTAATAATTTTTATCTTTAACATAATTAATTTTTTAAATAATACTTAATGTTCATATTTTATAGATATATAATTTTATTTTTTAATGTTATTTTTATATAAATACTGACTGAATACTAATTATTAAATTTTAAATTTTTAAGATTTTTTAATTAAAATTTTAAAAATTATTAATAAAAACCTTGTAATATAAGTATTTATTGTTTTATTAACTTATTAAACTATCTTAAACTTATATTTAAATTGTAATATGATTACTTTTTTCAACAAATATGTAATTTTTAATTTTTTAGTTTAATATTTTAATTAAAATTGTTATTTTTTCATGAGTTTTAACGTTATTTTAACTATTTTATTTATTTTTAATCAATAATTAGATTCATATAAATTTTAAAAACATATAAACTAAAAAAAACTAAAATTAAAATTTTTAAAAACTTCAAAAAATTTTCGGCGGCGAAATTTTAGGGGGGGGGTCATTTCTCATCGTTTTTAAGCGACAATCTTTCCCATTTGGTCAAAAAGTCTGGGGGGTAAAATCCCAAAATCTCGATCTTAGTGTGGGGGTATTTTGGCCTTACCCCCCTACCCCCCCCCTTACTTAACCCTGATACAGTATATATTGAATATAATAGAGTTATACTCAAGTGATGGCAACAAATAAACCACAAGGAGTTCATTGTGTTTATTGGGAATTCATAGGAAATCTATTTCCTTGTGATACAACCTATTGAAACATATTTTATTATATTTTAAGTGGTATTGAAAAATAATATTACTAAATTTATTAAATTGACATTTATTTTTGAATATTTTTAATAATCCATTCTAACAATCTAGGGAGAGAAAATAAAATATTTTCCGGTAAATTAGAGGTATTTTATTAGGGAACTTCCCTCCTTAGGAATTATTACAAACCCTATCTACACTTCATTACTATACAAATGGAATTCCTATATATAATTATCTGATTATATTTTTTTATTTGTAAAACTTTATTTATCAGTCAACTATATTTTTAGTTTAATGTAATTAAATGGATAAACTTTTTTACTTTAATATTAATTAAAATATTAATATTTAGTTATTATTTGTAATTATAATTTATTTTTATAAGCTAACAAATATTAATAAGTTATAACAAAATTAACATTCAGATCTGATAGTCAAAAATGCAGATACGTTACTAAAATAGATAATTGCAAATAAAATGGTTTTATTCAATTTCAATTTACAGGTTATTATTAAAATTAACTTATGTTATACAAATTATATTTAAAATTTTGTAATAAAGAAAATATTTAGATTTTGATGTTTTATTGAATAATTTGTTTAATTTCAATTTATTTTTACATATTTTAAACATAAATAAAAATAGTATATAAATTACTGAAATTACTTTAGTAATGATTGCAAAATAATTTTATTTTTTCTTAAAAATAAAAACTATTTAAGAATCGAAATAATTGGTAAAAATATTTATTATATAATTTAATAGAATAAAAGCCAATTTGTAATTACAATTACAACACATAATTTTGAGAAAAACAAATAAATTAATTACTGACTGTCATAGCGATAAAAAAGTATGATTTGTTAGCAGAATTGAGTCTATAAGAAGTGGTAGTTAAGAGACGACATCATTGGGTGATAAGTAACGCATTTCTGAATCTTCTGAAAGTCTGTTTTGTCTGTTATTTATTTTTTTGTTAATAACATAAAAAGTTAGAGTTGTTGTGATGATTGCCATTAATATAATGCTAACACAAATGCTTAGAGAAGTGTTTAACTCATTATTACTATTATTGACTAAATGTTTGGCACCAGAAAGCAAGTGATCGTTGATCTTCATCGGTCTTCTTCTTCTTCTCAAAGCTATCGTTGATTTAATTATTGGAGTTATAGTCGTCTTGTGAATAATGGTCTTACCATTGAATGTCACGGATATGGATGGTATTGGCTTTGGCTTTGTTGTAGTGGTAATGGTATGTCTGTTAGAGTTGATGTCAAAATTGTTTGTTATATTATGATTACTCAGAGCTGGTGTTACAACCATAGGACCTCTCGTTTTATTATAAGTACTGGTAGTATGACTACTAGTGCTGGAACTGAATGTACTTATGGTAACTAATGTAGTAATCTTTTGTCTACTATTTATACGAGTGCTTTGATTTCCTGAGTCTAAATCTTTTGTATGATTAGTCCAAATGTTTGAAACACTGGTTATTGGTTTTACAGCTGTTGTTTGTCTTGTTTTAGATTCAATTATGGGTTGAGAGTCTTGTGATTTTGATGTTGATGTTGGTATAGCTATGCCATCGCTGACAATAACCATTTCTTTGTTCATTCCTTTAAATTCGTTATTTAATGAATTATTTGATGTAAGATTTGGTGACCCCTGTAATGGCAATACAGTTGACAAAACAAACTGTTTTTGAGTATATTTTAAATTATTTGGTATTTTAGTGGACAGTATATTGTTTGTTGATTTAACAGAACTCATATCTGTGACCATAAGAGTTGTAAATTTACTTTTAATAGAGGATTCAGTGGACGACAGTAAGCTTTGATGTGCAGCGACGGCAACAGTAGATTGTGTTTTGGCTGTTATTTCGGAATTAGTTGTGAAAAGTGAGGGAATGGCAGTAGTGGTGAACAACATATCACGTATTATAGTTGTCTCTATAGGACTGACTGAATGACTTTGAACTAAGTTTGGATTCAACGATATTTTGCTGGACTCGACAAAAATGTTTGAGCTGTCATTGCTAACGACACTCATATTAATCACAGGAGTAGTAAACAGTGGATTCATTGTTGATGTTTTTGAGTTCAATTCAGATACAGATAGTGACTGAAATTTTGCTGTAACCGCACTATTCAATGGACTTGAAGTTGTAGTTATCGGCAATAACTGTCCACTACTTGATCTCATATCTAAAAGATAAATGGTTTCATAATTTTATAAGTTATCCTTAAAATCGTATTTTTATATTAAAACATAAGTTAAATTCCTACAGAAAATCAATTTATTTGCAATTGTATTATAAATTTTTAGTGTATTAAAAGTAATTGAATTGAATTAGCATTATTAATACCTAAATATATTAATAGAAATAATTTAACTATTCTACAAACTTTAGTGTAATGTATACAGTAGTATATACTGTACTGTGACCACACAAAACATTTAATAATTAGACAACTTTTGCATATAAATAATATAAAGTATATAAATAGTAAAACTATAAACATAGTGATAAAGTTAAAAATAGTATATATTTTTCTACATCATATTATATCATTTTCTACTCTATTAACAATTTTTATGTGTTGTATACATTTAATATTTATGACAACAATTATAAATATTCACAATTTGTTTAAAAATTATAAAATCTTTAAACTTATAGAAAATAACAACTTACTGTAGTTGATTGACTAAAGTGTTTAAAAATTATATATTACTCTATTAAAAATTTTGCTACATTCTATAATATATGCCAAGGAGTTATTGAAATAAAAAATGTCTAAAAGCAAAAAAACTAAAAATAATAGACATAAAAATGTATTCAAAAATTTTAAATATTCAACAAAAACAAACTAATACTTTGAGCAATTTTACAGAATATTATTCAAATTTTTATAAATATTATATAAATGCTGCTTTATAACTTAATATCATAAATTATATAATATTATTTTATATTATTTATATATTAGACACTGAAACCAAATTATGTTTTTTGCTAAAATCAATAAATTTAAGATATATATATCATATATAACTTATATATTTATACTGTACTATATAAAATATATGAGTATTGTTAAATTAAGTCAAGTCCAATAGTTAAATTCCAATGTATTACTTATAGTGAAAGATTTTATAAAAAGTTTTAAAATTATATTTTAGCAAATAGTATCACAAATATAAATAAATTTTATTGAACCTTGATTTCTATAAAAATTGGTTACATTTTCAAAGTCATGTCTACATACAAATATTTAAGTCACAAAATTAAGATAAAAAATATAGAAAAATAGTATTAAAGTTTGAAATATTTTAAATTGATATACATTACAAGTTTATTATTATTTATTGAAAAAATATTATTTTTTCTACATAAACTAAAATGTTAATAAAAGCTGTTATATAAAATGTTTTGTCAGGAAATTAAATAAATAAGATTGAAATGGATTGTATTAAATGCAAAGATAAAAATTCTAATTTCATATAACTTTCAACTAAATAATAATATTTCAATTATTTTTAAAATTTACTAATTAAAAATTAAAATTTACATTATATTTAATATATGAAAACTAAATTGTAATTACTCCAAATAGTAATAAATAATTGCATTATATTTTTAGACCAATTTTATGACATGACAATTTTATATTTAATGTTAAATATCTAAAACTATTGTACAAAAATTAATTAGTAACACAAATTCGTGCATGATGAAATATTTTAGCATCAAAATAAGCTATGTAACTATTTTTTAATAAAATTAATCATTAATTGTTATTAATAGCCACTGTAATATTAAATATATTATGAAAAAACCAAAATGTTAATAAATTGATAATTAATACATTATATAAGATATTATTATTAATGTATTATATAAATTTATAAAAATTATATTCTTAATATAGTAAAAATTGAATTGAATAAATATCATAAATAATAAACATTAATTATAAATGTCATCTTATATATAAACTCAATAAATTTTGTTTGTTTTTTTGTATTTACAATATTTTAAGCATAGATTTGTTATTATTACAAATAAAAAATACTTATATCTTATGTATCTATTATACATGTATAGTAAAATAGACTTTTCCGTAGTAATCATTAACAAACTAAACAGTATTAGTGATCATAAATAGGATAATGAATTGTTGATTATAGCAAACAATAGTAATAATGTTAATAATAGGTAAACAATGAATTGTTAGTTAATGTGACTCTGGATGTCATACCGACACAAACGGGCAAAACGTTGTTCCACTTTCCCTGAATACAAGTCAGTACTCGGTTTCCAATTAATTGAAATCCTTTATTACACATAAATTTTGCAATTCTTCCTCTGCTTCTCAAAGTCATCCAACCGTTGCTAAAGTCTCTAATTGTGGCACATCTTCTTCGTCCTCCTAATTATACAAATCTAATTAATTACTATATTTGTCATCAATTGCTTTCTTTCCAATTAATTAGTTCAATGATAAAGCAATCAAATGAAAAAAGTAAAGTATTATTATTATTATTATTATTATTATTATTATTATTATTAGTAGTAGTAGTAGTAGTAGTAGTAGTAGTAGTAGTAGTATTAGTAGTAGTATCTGAAATAGATCAATGAACAAAAATCATTGAACTTTCAATAGTAGTGAGTTCGATTCCTGTTAGGAATAAAACATTTTTGGCTTTGAGTTCAATAAGAGCAAATAATGTATCTACTCTAAAATATATTTTATAAAATAATTTATATTTATTTATATATAATTGACTATTTTGATGACAAGATATTATTAAAACACTAAAATTTACATAATATAATAGTCTAAATATTATTAATAATTTAATAATTAGTAATAAAAAATGAAACAATACTATTGACTGACTTGAAGTGGGCATAGACTTAGCCACGGATACAGTTGTAAAATCATTTGAATTGTCATCAGATTCTTGACTGGAATTTAGTGGAATAGGTATTATCAGTACATATATAAAGATTAGTAATAATAGTAGTCTTAGTCTCATATCGAGTGTAGTGTATGTACTTAATAACAATTTAAGTTGTCATTACTTATTATAAAATGTTATATTTTCATATAATTTATTATACAGTATATAAATACACATTAGTTTATAATAAAGTATTTAAGATTATAGTTATTTTTTGCACATCTTTCATATAAAATATAAAAAGTCAAAATTTACATAAATATAATGCAATTGAACTAAAAAAAACTTTAACTAAACAATAATATAAACACTAAAAAATATTACCAACAAATTTAATGATTTCTGGATTGTTAACTGATCTCAATTAATATGTTTATTGCTATTGCTATCGACTTTTTGGCGAAATTGTAAGGAAACGGATGTCCTTCTCTACGATTTATTGATTATCACTAAATGCCTTTTAGTTGACTCTATTAATGTTGAATCTCTTAAATGAAAAACACATACATTTCTGGAGATCAATTGGTCATTGTTTGCAAGTGTTTGACACTTTGGTTACAAATCATTACTAAACAAATAATGATTAGTTTGATTTGATGTAGAGATAGTTTGTAAATAAACTTTTTTAACATGAAATATGATTTACAGTTATTTTAGCTGTTAGTCAATAGTCAGTAAAAGAGTAGATACTGTATTGAGTATATTTGGGTTTTCATTGGGTGATAATTGAGTTGTCATGTATGTATGTGATGGACAAATATGAGTATCATTTAAGCAAATACTGTATAATACATTTATATTTATAAATAAACAAATAAACAAATAAATAGATATTTAATATAATATATGATATATTGTTTTATCAATGCAAGTATAAGATCGAAGTGCAGTTATTTGATAACTTTGTGTCTCAACACAAATCTAACGATCGTTTAGGTTATACTAAATGGGAGTTCAGCTAATGGTCTAATGCCTCAAAGGGTCACCTAATATGACAATAATACAGTATAGACCAACTGACGGCCCTTTATATATAAATTTCTATATAACATAACTCATGTATTAGATTATACTGTATATAGCGATAAATATCTTATATGAAAATACTATTTGGTCATAAAAATATAACTTATATATGTCTTACCATTTTCTAATATTACATGAGACCTACATTATATAAATTGCAGTTGAGTTTACTTTTTTATAAGTTAATATCTCATCAAAAAATAAAGTAACTTAAAGCAATAGAAAATAATACTAGAATTACTTACAATTTTTATATATTATTTTAAAATGACTGCAAATTTTTTGGAAAATAATCATAAATATAAAATCCAATTCTCTATTAGATAACAATGTGTTGTGTTTTGTTGGCTTTACATGTCTTTTCTGGTTTTATAGCTGAAGGCATGTGTGAAAAACATCTCTCGCCTCACGTTTTATAGACTCAAATATCTTTCAGTTAAAGTTTTCACTAAATATATATATATTCTTAAATTTTAAGCAAAATTTAGTGATTCGCTAAAGGAATCATACTTTATATTTGAGGCAATTTATAGCGTTAAGGACTACTGGCTTACAGGCCCTGTGGCTCATCACTATTATAATATACTATGTTTTGAATAATAAATTTTGTTTAAAAATTAAATTTTTAATATTTTAAATTACATAAAAAAAGTTTTCCTTAATTTTATGTACTATTAGTTTTTATGGACGATTTGTTATAGCCTTATGATAGCTTTCTTAGTGAACCCTAAACACCATTGATTTGAATTATTAACGGATACTTTTGTTTTAAGCGCCGTCACTACAAAAAATCAATACTATCTTTACATTTAAAATATAATATCGTAGTTAACAAACCATTGTTTTATTGTTTTGCTTCACATCTTTAGTCAATGAATGCCAACAATGTGTTTACATTTAGCTATTGTCATACACTTACTGTTGTACTGTATTTCAGATATTATATACTAATTTTGGACACAACTTTTTCTACAATAAACTATATTATTGAACATTAAATAAATGCAGTATAATGTTATAGCTATTAAAATTATTATTATATAACTTATGTATGTATGTAATACAGTATATATTTTGGTACTAAATTTTATGTGATAAAATTAATACATACATATAAAGTAAGTGTTTTATAATTGTATTAATTATTTAAAAGAACTAAATATTTAAATTTTCATTGAATATAAATTAGATTTAGTATAATAGACTTATATTCATTTATAAATATTTAAATTAATTATAAAAATGTGTGTTTAAAGCGATTTAATAGTCTCTCTATTCTATTGATTCATTTTTTACAAAATTTAAAAACCGTGTATTAGTGTTTGCGATCACGAAATACCTTTATTCTAAAAAGCTATAAAAATTACACTATAAATATATTTTTATTGTATAAATATATAGTATTATATAATATATAACTTTATCTTTAAATTATTTATTTATACCTCTAATGTTGTTTCATTGGATTTTTATTTAGTGTTTTGTGTATAAAAACTGTTATTAAAGAAGACCTGTCAGTCTTTGCTGGTATTTCTCCAGTTATTTCTTAACATTTTGAGTCATCAATTGAAGATCCGGTAGTCTAGCATTTACACTAAATTATGTTAACTGATAAGCAATAGTATTATCAGTTTAAAAATTTTGAATCTATCACTTTAAAGAAGAGAATTGCATGAAATAAACAATAAAATTTGAATAAAATTTTTAAACAAAATGAAAGAAATCAATTTCACACACTTTATATTATAATTGTTAAAAGTTTCACAAAATTTGCATTAAATGAATAAAAATATAATACTTTAAAATATTAAAAGTTAATAAATATATTCATTAACATTAAGAATATTCTATTTTTAAAAGTTTTATACAAATTTTTAATTATATATTTATTAAATGTCGTATTTTCAAATAAATATACAATGTGTCTTATTATTTTAATTAAATAGAATAATCTACATTGAAAACTTTAAAAATTAAATAATAATAATAATAATAATTTATTATAAAATATCAGAAATACTGTATTAAAAAATATATAGTTAGTATTCTAATATAATTAAGAAAATTTATATAAAATAAAAATGTTAATATTTTTATAAATTATTATACTGTTGTCACTATTAAAATTAAAGTATACTAAAATTTGATAAACATGTAATATAAATTTATTATAAATTTACTGCAAATATTTAGAGTTTATTAATAATAAAATTAGAAAATTTTTACTATCGTATATAAACAAAAAACATGAACACTTAAAATATATTACAATAAAATTATGATTAAAACATAATTGAATTTAATTAAATTAATGTTTAGTGTAATAACATATTTTGATAAGTGTTGTGTTTAGGATATGTATGTACTGTAATATTGTGGTACAGCGTATAAGTGCTGTAATAATGTCTTGAACTCCTCCCGAACAGAAGCACAGGCAATATAGAGGACGCAGTCTCGGCTCAAGTCATGACTATGACTACGGCCGACACCACTGTGCTCTCGGTGTGTGTATGTGTGGTGTGAGTGTGTTGTGTGTGTCAGTACATCACTAGTGACTCTCGATGTTTGTTGTAATGTGTTTTGCTATCACTGTTTGACACACGAGTCTGAAAAGAGATTGTCTTTTGATGCTATCATCTCATAAACAGTGCTTTTACTCAATGAATATGTTTGACTCCAATAGAGTTTGTGACTATAGTTTAGTTAGGTTTTTGATTTATATAACAAATAACAGTAGATATTATATATTATAAAAAAATGATAAGAATTTTTGCTCCAAAAAATCGCCAAAAATTCATTTTTAATATTTTCAGTGATTTTTATATAACAAATACTATATATTAGTAAATATTAATGTTTGCTTCATGTGATGTGATGTGATGTTAAATATCTTACAAAAACAAATGATGAAACATAATAAATATTTATTTATTAATATAAATATTATTACTATCATTTTCACTAAAATCTTGTTAAATAAAATTTTCAAATAAAATGAATGTCTAAAAATAAAACAAATATACTGAAAATGGTATTTTAAGTTATTTTATGACTACTCATATATTCAAATAAATTTTCATAAATTTAAATATAAAATAAGTTAAAATTATTTAACATTTAAACTTACGTAATAATAATAATAATGTTATATTAAATAAATTATAATTAGAATTTTATGAATATAATAAATAAAATAAAATTTAAGACAAATGTTAATTGTTTTGTTAATAAAATATTGATTCCAGTCTTATAATAATTTTTAATGTATTTCTACTAAAAGTTTGATATAATAAGACTTAAGATTTTGTTGAGTTTTACTTTTATTGTTTATTATTATTATTGATATAAATAAGTGAATGTTTTTGACAATCATCTGACTATTAGTCTTTGATTGTATATATATATATATATATAATACATATAAATATACTGTATATACAATAAAAATTATTTATATTATTGATAATAATAAAAATATAGTTAAATCCAATCATCGGTATTATGTCTTTTTGGTGGTATTCATATTTTATAAGATGTTTGTGGACGGCTTATGTCATACCATTGGCCATCATTTGCAATGCAAATATAAAAACTGAAAAACTATATATCGCCGGTTTTTTCCCGACCAGTAATGACATAATTGAGGGCTCAATAGGTAGAGGAGTGTTACCCGCAGTAAAGTTAGCGTTGAATCACATTAATAGCAGTCCTGTTATGAATCGTGGCTATGATCTCGACATCGTTTGGAACAACACTAAGGTATGCCATAAAACCATAACTTTTATAATTTACTACCAGTTTCTGCTCCACTCATATATTAATGCTTATCTAACGTTACTTTTTTGCTACTATAATATAACGACCCAAATACACACCAAATATCTGCTAAATAATCAATAATTGACTCCTATAAATACCGGCTCACTGTGTATATAAAATAATGCAAAAAATTTTTGATTTAATGTTTTCTCATAAAATATTAAATTTAATTAACTTCTTGATGTATACAGAATATTCTTTTAAAACTTAATTAGCTATTAATAGAGTTTGTTATTACTTTTATATTTTATCATTTTTGCAATAAATGTAAACAAAAATAGTTATTTTGATATAAATCCTATTAGTTTTTGACAAGAATTAGTCATTATATTTATTGTAGTATTTCAATATATATACATAAATTATTATATGCTAATTAACTTATGAACTTACATTAAAAATTAATATTTTAATAAAATATAGTTATAATTTATTATTAAAGCAAAATTTATAAATTTAAATTAAAATTAAAATGTCATTTTCTTATTAAACAAACAAATAAATTATTAAAATATAATATAAAAATATATATAATAACAAAATAAATATAAAAATTATATTTAAATAGAAATTTTTGTTAAAATTTAAAAAATAGAATTTTTAAACTTATTCCTTATCAGAATCCCTTTATTGTGTATTTGAATAAAATATAAAATGGCGGTATTTTTTGATACTTTAGTTAATATAAAGAATAATTACAATCTTAACATTATTAAAATATTCAATATAATTAATATATTTAGTCAAATTTATTAAATTAAAGTTTTAGATTATTTAAATTATATTGCACTATTTAATTTCAATAAAATTAAACTAAAGTAACAAAATATTTATAAAAATTTAATTATTACTAACAAATAATTATTTAATAAACATTTACTTTAATGTTAAATTTATTTTAATATAAACTTAAATTATTTAATAAATATTTTAAATAAATTATAAATTCAATAAATAATGTTAGATATGCAAATATTTGCGTATTTATAAGTTTATCAAGAACTAATTTTTAGACAAATTAAATTAATTTCATTAAAATATTAATAATAAGTAATTAAAAATATAAATATTTTAAATGATTTCTATTTTTTAGATATTTAGATATCAATAATATAGTATAATGTATTGGTAGTAATATAAAATTGTATTATCATAATTATAAAGTCTATAATTTTTATTTCAAACAATCATGAAATTTATGTCATCAACTAAATCTTGTTTTCGCTGTTATTATATTAAATACGTTTTAATGCAGACAAACATTGTGTTATATCAATTGTAATGTTTATAATAAAGTATACTTTTTTAAATCAATAAATCAAACAAATTATGATTAGAGTCAATGTTTGTTTGATTTATTGATTAATTAGAGTCAATGTTTTAAATTAAATTGACTTATAAAAATTGAACTATTGTAACATTTATAATATGATTTTATTGATAGATTCTATAATATATACAGTAAATTAAATCATCTTAAAATAAAACAGTTTTATAGATCTTCATAATATGGATTATCATTTGAATTTTATGACATCTAATGGTTAATATTGTGCAATAATTATATAAAATTTGCTAATAATTGCAATTAAATCATTGTATGTGAATTATTTTTTAAATATTAAATAAAAATTTATAGTATTCTAGTTGTTTAAATTAAAATTAAATTTTATTATGTAATGACATTTTAAACTCAATAACACGTTTATTAAAAAATATTATTTATTATTTTTGCACTAATATGTGTTTAATTTTAGCTATTATTTTATATATCATATTAAATCAAATAATATTTATTTAGTTTAATAAAATGCAATTTATATTTATTAATGTCAAAATAGTATTAAAATTTTTTAAATTTATTGTCTTTAGTATAAAAATTACAATACAACAATTTTTTATAAATACTTATACACTGTGTATAAATGTTATAAAAATATAATCTGCATTTAATTTATCACATATTTATTAATACGAATAATTATTAATTTATTTAATTTATTTAAATTATTGTTATTTATTGCAAATTAAATTTTAGTATACCATTGGATTATAAAATTATATAATATTAAATAACAGAACTTAAAATAATATTAAGTATTTTTTATATATAAATTTTAATTTGTTTTATATATTATTCTAGTAATATATTGTTGTATTTTTGATGAAATTTGAGAAAATACGTGAATAGATAGAGAACTATCTTATAATTGATTAGTCGTATAGAAATAGAAATTCCTTTGCATTGAATTGAAAATCAATTTTAAAAATACAATTCATTTAAATCGAAGTCATTCTTAACATTCTTTGAAAAATTAGTTTATATTATATGTTAAGTCTTAAAGAGCACCGGAATTATAATGAAAATTGCTTTCAAGCGTTTAAAACATTTAAAACAGTTTTATTGCACTTACTTTATTGATTCATTAATTATACCAATAGATAGACAAACATTTTGTCAGTTTATGTGTTAGATATTTAAACAATAAAAAATTAATTCATAGTTTTATTTTCTTAGTTTTAGTGGAATTTAAAAATTAAAAATTTAAGCATAATTTTTTATATAAAATAGTGTGTAATAACAATATTATTAATAATTATTAATAATTATTAATCTTTATTATGATTTTAAAATTTAAATTTTTAATTTATTTATTTATACTATTATATTTAAAAAATAATTTACGTTAAATATTATATTGTAATAACTTTTGCTAATAATTAAATCTAAAAGTTCAAAATCATAATTTAAAATATTAAATATATTAAGCATATATTTAATCTTGCAAATAAACAATAATTAAATAAATTTATGTGTATTATTATTAAATAAAGTATAAGTACGTCAATATAGATAATTCATTAAAATGTCTACCTTTAAATAAATAAATAGTATACGCTATACTGTATGGCATATATATATATATATATATATATATATATATATATATATATATTATAACGGAATAATGTAATCAATTTGTGACAAAAGCTATCAAATGATTATGATTTTATTGTATAAAATGTTATACAAAATATAACTATATTGTAATCATAATAAAAATATAATATTATTGACAATAAAAATCATTATACATTTAATAAATGAAATCAATGGTACAGTAGTTGACAACACTATTGTATATAATACCTGTAGTATATAAAAGGTTTGTTAATTTTGGTAACAAAAGCCATTAATTTATATTATTTTTCTCTTTTTATTCTAACAATTTAGTAAATGACAGAAATAATTATTTAGTAATTTTTAATTTAAAAATTAACGTAAACATATAATTCTGTTAAATTGTAATTATAAAAATAACTTCTATTGATAATTTATAAAAATAAGCAAATAATTAATATTATATATTAATTAGATAAATTATTTACAAAATGATTTTTTAAAATTAAGATCAATTTTATTTCACAATATCTAATTTTGTAATTTAATTCATTTATATAATTTGTTAATTTTATTTTCAGCATTGTAAATATATTTGTATTAATGCAAATTTTTGATTTCAAATCATTGATGTTAAAATTTTAGCAAATTAAAAAAAAATATTTATTATTTTATTTACTATATTTTATCAAAAAACATAAAAATGACAAAACATGTAATGCAAGCATAAGAATTTAGGAAATTTTTCATCGTTTTACTTATTTAATTAATATTTTCATCGTTACCCGTAAATTATAAGGGAATGTATTTTTATGTATTAATAATACCATAAGCCCACCATTTTTATAATAATATTTGAAAACTATAAATGTTTACATTTTAATATAATTAATAAAACTCAACTAATTGTTGATATTGATAATTTATATTAATCTTATATAATATTAATAAATATTTGACACATTACTTTGTTTGTATATAATAAAATATAGTATATTTAATTTTTTTATTTAAATATTTATAAAACTTTTGTAGAATAAATTCTAAAATTTTTTTGCTGTAATTTATAGATTTTTAAAAATTTTCTAAACACTAATTATAATAGTAAAATATTTATATAACAAATAATAATTATGAATATTCTTAAAAAATATAAATAACATTTACATAAATGTATAAACATTAAGTCAATAAAATTGTTTATTTTCTACAATGAAATAGTTTTTTTATTGAATTATTTTTAATTGTTTGAATTGTGAATTGTATATTCTTAAAATAAATAATTTAAATATATTATTATATGTTATATATTGTTAATTTCATTAAAAAATTGATATTTTGATTACATTTTTTTATTTTAAACTTATAATAATTGAAAAGAAGTAAATGTAATATTCAATTGTGAGGTAGGTTTTAGTTTTATTCAATCAACATTACAGAGCATTATATAGTTTGAAAGCATACAATTAAATGACTTAAATGATTCATTAATCGGCAACAAATAATATAAATAACAATTTTTACTATTACCACCACATAAGTAAATAATCAATATTATTTATTGAAAAATCAATGATCTACTTTAGTTTTTATTGTATGTTATTACGGCTATATTGTAATAAATATACAATATATAAGTAAATTGTATTACTACTGCTCTCTTTGTGTATTTATGTGTGTAAATATTGAAATATTTGTTTCAAACTATTCAAATACAGATTATTTTTGTATAATTTACATACATTTTAATTATTCTTGCTCTCTCTCTCTCTCTCTCTCTCTCTCTCTCTCTCTCTTTCTTTCTTTCTTTCATTATTTTAGACACACAAAGATCTTTTATATAATTAGCAAATATTTTGTAAAAATTATTTCGTTGACATTTTGAAAATTTAGAAAATGTTTCAGAATCAATATAATCAGATTTATCGATAATAATATTAAAGTAAATAAAATTTGTTAATTTTTAAATATGTCTTAATTTACAGTTTATTTTTATATTATTGTTTTGATAATAAATTTATTCAAAGTTCATTTAATA